AACAAACAGCTTTATTTGAGTTGGATTTATAAATGCTCCTGTTTTTATTATTATTGTTTTTTTTCTTATGATTTCTAGTTTATGATGACCTGGTTGTGCCTCTCAAAAAATCATGTCCTGAAGCTTTAAATGCTCCAAACAGAGCTGGAGTCACACCTCAAGACCTGCTGAACTGGCTGAAACATACAAAGGTAAACAGAATACTCTAAAGTGTAATATTTAAACTGATAAAGTAAACAGTATTTTAAAGCTCCTTCATATTCTAGAGTTGCAACTAATAATCTTCTGTGGGCAAATATATATATACACAACACTTCAAATTACAATTTCAGTCCCTGTTTTTTTGATTTTGTTTATTTTTATATATATATATATATATATATATATATATAAATATAATTTACTTTTCTGGCTGAATTATAGCAAATTGAAATAATTAAGTGTTGTTTGGGTTTTGAGAAACTTGTCCTTTTCTTAATATTGTATACTAAAAATCATTTTGTTGTTGTTGTTTATTACCATTTGGATTTTTAAAGATGACTAGTGCATGTGTTGGGTATGGCAGTGGTAGCTCAATGGTCAGTGCTGTGGTCTTGTCCTGAGGTTGCATGTTCAAGTACAGGTTGCATCATGAATGGCATCGGGCGTGAAACAGTTGAAAAAGTTTTCATGGGAGTTTGCTTACTATGGCGACCCCTGAAGAAAAGAGCTGCTGAAATAAAATTTTAGTGTGCCTGTTAGGCAGCTTTGAGATTTGTGATCATTAGATTTGCTTACCAAATAAAAAAAAGGTTAATACATAAATATTACAACCAACCATCGGAGCATTTTTCAGAATAAATATTCAGCCCTCATGGGTCAAACTGAACCCATCTTCAATAACGGCAAAATAAAACTTCCACAATAGACAGAAACACAAAAATGTTTGCCTCTGTAAGGTATTAAATAAAATAATAATAATAAAAGAAAAATAAAACTCTGAGTATTTTCTTAATCTTCAAGGTTTTATTAAGAATTATTTCAATAAAAAATTCTAAATTGTGTTCTTTCTTTGACATTTGCAAGTTTAAATCTGTAAGAGATTATTTCCTAAACCCAGAAACTGCTTATTTACTTAATGTGAGTAGCTTCATTAGAACTAATTTTTGCAACACGATTGATTAGTGGTTTGCACTGTGGCCTCACATTAAGAAGGTCCTGGGTTCAATCCCTGGCTTCAGGCCCAGCCCGCCCTTGCAGAAGAGTTCTGGATGTCAATGGAATTTGCCTGGTTCAAAAAGATTAATATTTTTTTAATCTGCTCTCATAAACTCATGGAAAGGGGGGAAACCACCTCAAGCTAGCAAAATAATGTTTCTTCTGTAAGAGTTCCTATTTGATAGTGTTTTCTAATAGACAACTTGAAAAAATACATTAATGTTGAACTCCTGAATACTTAAGAACTTAAGATGTTTGTGAATAGATTTTTATACTTATTCATTGACATTTTCATGCGTCTTCCTTCGTTTTCTTTAGACTGCAGACATGAGCTGTCCACCTAAGGTAGACCCTGAGAAGGAGTGGATGGAGAAGCTGTTTGATGAATGCGAAGATGAATTTTTCGAGACCTTTGGAGCATATGATGGTGACTTTTGAACTATTTGTTAAATTTAATTTGGTCTTTTTCTACTTGACACTTAACACTGCTGCTTTCTTTCACAGCTGATAATCATCTACCAGTTGATGATGACGAGGAAGACTTTGGGGACTGGGCTGATCGTATCAGAAGAGAATACTTTGATAAAAAACATGCTGAAGCTCAAAGACTCGCAAGGTCATCTTCTAGTTGGAAAAAAGGGAGCAGAAAACAAAAGGGAGAAGAAGAGGAAAGCCATGAAAAGTTGCACCAAAGGCTGCAGAAGGAACACGAGGAGTACCTGGCTCGAGCTGCACGTAAAGAGGAAGAGACTCGACAGGGAAAGAAGCGTCGGTATGAGGAGAGGTGTGCCTCTACGTTTAACAGCGCTTCTGCATCCGGCATCACAACACTGAGCTACAGTGACATCCCCTGGCCAGCTTCAAGAGGGACAGTCCAGGAGATGGTGGACGTGATGCTGCACGGTGTGGACCGAAAGGATGTGGCAGCCTTTCGTAAAGCTCTGCGGAAGCAACAAACTCTGTGGCATCCAGATAAATTTGCTCAGCGATGTGAAGCCCGGTTAGACGAAAAGGACAAACGGCGGATTCTGGATACAGTGACAGCTCTGTCACAGGAGCTCAACAGGCTGGCTCAGAGTCTGAGGACTTAGAAAGGAGCACAAATTGTACATTTCATGTGCTCCATTGAAAAGACTCATAAAATCCAGCACAAAATTGATTACTCTTGTCCTATTTATTGACTACTTAGAGTTTGGACAAATTTATACTGATGTTCCTGGAAGGGTTTTAAAGGAGAGAAAAAAACACTGAGATGAGGGTGAAAACTGCATTACTTTGCATACAAATTAAATGGAATGAGCTGAATGCAAACAAAACTACACAGAGCTGTATGTGTTGTCAAATAAATTAGCTTCAGTGGACAGGACACGTAGTCAGAATGAATGGTTGCTTAAATCCTACATAAACCAAAAGATAGCACTCATGTTCAGCTACATATTCATCAAAGCTCATTGACATTTTTCTTCGTGTTCTGATGTTTTTGGTTGAACAAAGTGCTTCAAATATTTATTTCATCATCTGAATGCTAAATGAAAGTATTTTGTATATGCAAACTACATAAAAATGGTTATCCTGGACTATATAAAATGCTGCACTTTGAGTTTTCTGATTTATTGAATGCCTTTCTAAAATGTGGGTCTGCACTTAATGCACACAGCACTGGTTGAATTAGCTGAAAACCACTTGGAAGCTGGAGTCACACTGGCTATAGTCTGTAGGTAAACAACTAATATAAGTTAAACTTTTGACCTATTTCCAGTCACTTAAGCTTTAACAAAACGCAAATGGTAGTTGGCACTTGGACACAAAATTTTGAATACAAACTTATTTTAAGAGCAGCTAACTCAGTGATGTTACAAAATATATTGTGTGGATTTCCTTTGTGGGGTGGGTTGTCCAGTTTTCATGGAATTGCAATGATTACCTTTAAAAATAAAATCCTGAGCAGCATAGTTGTCATGTCTCCTTAAAAATGTTTCTGTTACTACTTGCAATATAAAGTAAACGCAAACATTTTTACGCAAAAACAAGTACTTCGAGATTTATCACAGAATACTGTCAATCAAATGGTCACGTTGTTCAGCCACGACGCAAGACCTCGAAGGAAAATACGCGAGTTGCCAGATGTGATTAAACGCCTTTAAAAACAAATCGCGCAAAACTTAAATAAATTAAACTCCACGGAGTTTTAGCGTTTGAAATTTTAACTTAAAATAATATTCACTCAGATCCTTGACATTGTTTTATTATTAGTTTTTGTTGTCTCTTGTTTTTTAGTTAAGCACTCATTTTTAAGTTTCCCTTTGTTGAATTGAATGAACCGTGTGGGCTTTTGTTTAGATGCCGCAAATCAAACCACCGATACAGTCGGCTTAGTTCAGTGTAGGACGAATTCATTTCAGCTATAATATATATATATATATATATATATATATTTTTCACCCAACCCCTTAATGTTAAGTCAAATTTCTGTTTAACCGCAAGCTACACAGCGGTCAAAATCAACGGCTGCATCGTAGGATGCTAAAATATCTGGCAACCCGCGGACACAATGTGTGTCAATTTAGGCCGTAGCCTCAATCTGACCGGGCTCGTTTTTACCAAGAGACGCAGCGGTTAGCTTCACTTGTCAACATGGCGGGTCGATAACTCGTCTTTTTTTTTTTTGTTAGCTTGTTGCTCGCGTATTTCCACCTATCGTCGCGTTGTTTTTTCTCGTGTGTGGCGTTATGACAGGTGTATGAAGGTAACAACGAGGCTACAGGAGGGGATGACGCCTCCTTTTTTTTTTTTTTTTGTCGTTAAAATAATTCGAGACGCCGCTGTCTTTGTTTGTAAACCGCTTTTTTAATTAGTCATGCGACTTAGGGGGAAGCAAACCGAAGCGACACCTCAAACCCATGATGAAGAAATTATTAATAGACAGTAATTAATCCCGGGAGGAAGTTAATTCGGGGTTCGCTTTTTTTGAATATTCTGTCATGCGCGCTTTTAGCTAGCTGTTACAGCTTCGGGAGGATCAGGAGGCTAACAGATTATCAGGAGGAGAGTCTCGTCTGTCTGGCTGATATTAAAGATGGTGTTTCGGAGTGAGGAGATGTGCTTGGCGCAATTGTTTCTGCAGTCTGGGTCGGAATATGACTGCATCAGTGAGCTCGGGGAGCTGGGTCTGGTGGAGTTCCGAGATGTAAGTAGAGATGCTGATGATGCATCTTTCCAAGCATCATACATGCATCTATACTTGTAATGAAGACTTTACCCTCATTTAAACATGCAGAGCAGCAGGTGATGTTCTGAACCCCCTCAGAGGCTGTTAATTGCGTTTGCACACGCATTTACTGGTTTTATGGTGATTACTGCATCCACCCTGACGTGTTGCCTCCTCTGGTTTCAGCTCAACCCAAGTGTCAGCTCGTTCCAGCGGCGCTTCGTCAGCGAAATCAAGAGATGTGAGGAGATGGAGAGGATTCTGGGTAAGGACAGGAGCTCCTGCACCTGGGATGTGCACCTGCATCCAGAACGATCCGTTTGTTTAGTAGACAGAGGCTCCCATGATGATTGGGTTTCAGTGCAATTGTCCCTCTAGAGACTGAGATTTCGCACTTATGTGGTGATGATCTTGAAAGCACACTATCAGCTATGTTTTGTGAGCAGGTTACCTTCTGAGAGAGATCCAGAAAGCTAAAATAGCCGTTCCAGAGGAGGATGAGAGCCCACCGGCCCCTCCGCCAAGACAAGTCCTTGAGATTATGGTAAGTGTTCAAAAAGGGACTGTTTAAATTTCTTTGTTTGTTGCGTTAAATGGTATCCTGTTTTTTTTTTTACTTGATCTTGGACAAATACAGTTTTTCCTCATGTTTGCTGTTAAGGTCTTAGCTGATAGCCATTACTGTTGAGGAACATAATCAGGTTTTTATGGCTGCACATTAACATCAAATTGAAGACTTTTTGTCCTACGTCTGACTCCCTGCAGAAATACACCCAAACATATTATAAGTAGGGATGCACGATATTGGATTTTTGGCCAATATCCAATATGCTGATAGGTTAAAACTTAATTGGCCGATAACTGATATTTTATATAATTTCCTTTGTCAGAACATAACCCACTTATTTAGGCTTATTTGCTACAAAAAATGTGTAACAGCTGTAAGAGCTGGTGTCATAAATTCTGTAACAGCCATATGATATGCATAGCACTTTTAACTTATATTAAATGAAAAGTGTTGAATATTATTTATTAGCATTATTCACCTGTGATACTGTCTCACTTGTGGAGGCTTGTTCCAGGTTCTTAGCTGCAGTGTGGGATCCTCTGCACTCTTGTGCATGAAGGACAGACTTTTTAAGTTCAAAGTTTTTGTCTATCCATTGTACCGTAAGACTAATCATGCTAACGGGGCTAACACGACGTCCAAATGTCTGTGGTAAAACTCACCCAAGTGCTATCGGCTATAGGCTTCTCAATGACATCGGAAAAATATGTCTGACTGGGGACGATGTAGCGAGGCTCAACGTAGTCCATAAATCTTTGGAATCCGACATCCTCACCAACGAAAATAAAAAAACTTCCACACTGCTGACATTTTGAATTTTTCTCTCCGCCGTGAGATCAGTAGGTGCGTGTGACGTCATCATGTTGTGCTGCCGCTGCAGGCATCCTTGTTGTCATACAAAAGCAGCGCCTTTTATATCGATGAGTTATTTTGATGGGATGACCGATCATCATATTGAACTTTAACGCTAATATTGGCCGATACCATGCTGATAATATTGTGCATCCCTAATTATAACTGTTTGTCATTTAGGAAAAATATGTTTAGCTCTCTGGTATTGGATTAAGTCCTTCTGAACAGAATCTGTGTTTTCACCTCAGCAGCAGAAAATAAATCCACATTTAAACATGAGAAAATGAAAATCAACTGAATTACAGCTACTGATGCATCTCCCTTTTTATCTTCTAAATAAGGATTTTAACTTTGATTACAAGCGGTCTTATAAGCCGGTTTCTCTAAAAATGTTCCTGTCTTAATTTCCAGTCTTTTTGTGAATTACCTTTCCTTAATTACCTTACCGACTGCGGGAGAAAAGCCACCTCAAATATCTGTTTGCCTTCTCATCATTCTTCTTTGTAGGTGTAAATTACTGTAGCTTTCAGAGTACAAAGAAGCTGATCACAGAAGTTTGTTGATCATTTTTGGGAGGTTGGGATCGGAGCCGGACTTCACTAATAAGGACTGTTAGCGCTGCAGCCAAAAACAGTGCACTAATTGTGAAATTCTGGACTAATACTGGTGTTATAATAGATAATATAGTTAATATTTATGTTGTATATTATTTGCCATTTTAATTTCCAGACAACATTCACATTGTTTTTTCCATAATGAATTCAGCAAACTTTACTTAATCTTATTACATGTCATTGTTTAAGCCCATATGTTTTTTTTTTTGCGAGTGTAAAACAAAAGTAAAACAGTTTCAGGGTAAAATCATTTCAACACAACCATTGATTAATGATAACTTATTGCTGATGATGCATCCCTTCATTAAAGTTAATTAAAGTTGGAAACCTTGGTAAAGTGTTGCTGTCCTTTTCTCTTAACATCTGTACAAATCAGTAATTATAAAATAATCTTACTTGTGATGTTATAAAAAAAAAATCATATATTTTAGCTCCATGTCTTTTGGCCCATTTGAGTCTCCGCATATTAACTTAGTTTCAGTCAAAAATAATTTTCGATAAGTTGCACACATGTGTCCTCTGGGTTTAAAGATGTGCAGCATTGATCATGTTCCGGTTTACTGAAATCAGCTGGTGGTCCCTGTAACATCCAGGAGCAGCTTCAAAGGCTGGAGATGGAGCTCAGCGAAGTGGCCAAAAACAAGGAAAAGCTTCAGCGAAACCTCCTGGAGCTCACTGAATACACTCACATGCTGAAGATTACACGGACCTTCATTCACAGCCGCTCCAGAGTGAGTTTGTTTCTGTTCGGTTGCTTGTTTCCCCTCAGCATCTGCTCAGTTTATGCCACTATTAACATATTTCCTGCACAGCAGTCTATGTATGTATAAAAGCCAATGCATTTGGCAGTTAATACCAATTTTTATTTATTTTTTTATAACTAGCACGAGGCTCTCGGCCCCCAGTATGAAGAGTTCCCCACTCCGGAGACAGACTCGGTGACAGGATGCACCGGTATGCAGAGACTTGGAGCTAAGCTGGGGTGAGTCACAACGTCGCTCATTTGCAAAAACGATGCAGGATGTCATTACGCAGTTAGAAAGCACATCCTCAACTTTGTCCGATTTCTCCTGGGTGCAGTTTTATTTCAGGACTCATCCAGCGGGTGAAGGTGGAGGCCTTTGAGCGCATGTTGTGGAGAGTGTGTAAAGGTTACACCATCCTCAGCTATGCAGAGGTGGACGAGAGCCTCGCTGACCTCGACACTGTGAGCTCAACCATTAAAACAAGACGTTTTACAACATTACTTGGTAGCTTTCAGGTCTGTAGTTAAAAGTTTTTCAAACTGTGATTTCAGGGAGAAATAAGCAAAAGTGTCGTGTTTCTCATCTCTTTCTGGGGCGACCAGATCGGACAGAAAGTTCAAAAAATCTGCGACTGGTAAGTTGGCCTTTACTGGCCGACTTTTAGTTCCTTCTGAATTTTCTTTTCTTCTCAACTTCTTTTTCTATCTCTCTTAGTTACCACTGCCACTTATATCCACACCCCGAGAACGATGAGGAGCGAGCAGACGTGTTGGACAGCTTAAGAACACGGATCCAGGACCTCAACAATGTAGGGTAGAATCCTCTGGAGGACGCGTGCATATAGTCTCAGTTGTAAAGGTTGTCTCCCTGCAGGTGCTTCATCGCACTGAGGACTACTTGATGCAAGTTCTACAAAAAGCAGCCGAGTCAGCCTACTCCTGGGTCGTGCAGGTTAAGAAGATGAAGGCTATCTATCACATCCTCAACCTGTGCAGCTTTGATGTTACCAACAAGTGTCTGATCGCTGAGGTTTGGTGTCCTGTCAGCGACTTGGCAAACCTGAGAGGAGCTCTAGAAGAAGGTTCGGTGAGTAGGATGGTGTTGCACTTTGTTATAAAGCTGATTATTTATTTTAGGGGTCATTTGTGGCTTTTTGAGGGATTTTGTGCAGCCTGCAACTGCAATTTATCATTTTAGGTTTCAACAAAGAAAGAATAAAAATATATATTTAAAATCTGCAATATTTTATGCATTACATATAATTTTATTTCAATTTTATGGTATAAAGGAACACAAATCTTTACTGACTTACTGAAAATAAGACTTTAGGATAACAATTTATAAAACTTGCCTAAATATAGCAAATACTTTAGAAGTAAGAAAAAAAATATGGTTGAATCGCATTAGGATTTTTAATTGTTAGTACAACAATAGGGAGAGGAATCACACAAAGCTAAGCAATCTAACCTACAAAATGCAGAACTGGTACATAAAAATGGCTAGTGAAAGTTGATGTTTTACTGCTGATTTATTTTCGGTCACGCTCTGTGACTGCTTAGTTCAGATCTGAAGTTACTTTGTAAAACAAAAAGTCACATCACATAGTAACAAAGTAACAAATCATTATAGCTGTTGATCAGTAACTCCATGTGTGGTTAAGCAAAATTCCAATAAACCACAGAAGATGCAGAGGAAGAGTTGCACGATTTGTGGAATCGTGTCTGTCTGTGATTCACACTTAGGATTTACAGATTGTGCAGTTTCAAATTATTTAGTGATCCAACTCTGCTTTACACTTCAGATCTTTTCTGAGTCACAAAAATGTTACCCAAAGCTAAAGAAGGATGAAAAAATAATTAAAAAAATGTTATAATGAAGCAGTCAAGGATATATTTTTGTCCTTGTAGAACCTCAAAACTAAATCATTATTTAAATATTATTACAGAGTAAAAGTACTATGTGCAGCTAAGAACCTGAGTATTAAGTGGCAGGGTCTTGTTCTGCTGTTTAAGATGTGGAGTGTTCATCTCTGTTAATGTGTTACAGCTCTAGAAGAAAAATATTGAGCAAGTCGTGTCGTTCAGGCTTAGTGAACAGTTTAACAGCTGGAAGAGATTCAATTCAGCGTGGCCACTTTTAAACACAAATATTTAAAACATAAAATACCTTCATTGTGATTGCTCCGTGTGAATGTCCATGTTTTTTTTTTGGTTGCTACAGTTTTTTTGTACTTAAGTTTAAAGAGATACCCACAACAGGTCAGATGTTATCTGTTCATAACGTTTCAGTAGAACACCACTTCAAAAAATCTAAACTATTGCCTTAACAAAAAAATCTTCACTCACATAATGCAGTTGAGTGCCAAGTTTACAATAATATTTCTCTTTCTCATGTTTTTAAAAACATTTTCTACCAGAGAAAAGGAGATGCTACTGTTCCATGCTTTGTGAATCGCATCCCAAGCAGTGATACACCTCCTACCCTTCTAAGAGCCAACAAGTTCACAACTGGCTTTCAGAGCATCGTGGAGGCATATGGGGTGGGGGACTATCGCGAGGTAAGCCCAGGTAAGTCCTGTGTTTTCTGATAGTAAAGTGTGCCTTGTTTGCTTTGCAACACTTCACAATGATCAAATTGATTTTGTTTGTCGTATCGGCAGCTCCCTACACCATCATCACGTTCCCCTTCCTGTTTGCTGTGATGTTTGGTGACCTTGGCCATGGGATGGTAATGAGTCTTTTTGCCTTGTGGATGGTGCTGACAGAGAAAAATCAAAAGAAGAAACGTTCCAGTAATGAGGTGAGAATATTATTTATAATTGTTACATTATAACTATTGTAAATTAGTTTCATCCGATGGTCTCGTTCCTGTCGACATCACAGATCTGGGCAACGTTTTTTAACGGGCGATACATCATCCTGATGATGGGGCTTTTTTCCATCTACACTGGGCTCATTTATAATGACTGTTTCTCCAAGTCTCTGAATTTATTTGGCTCAGGATGGAGTGTTAAGGCCATGTTCACAAATCAGCAATGGACGTGAGTATCAGCACAAACAGTGCGTGGAGACTTAACATATGATTCAGGCTTTTATAATGCATTGTTTTTGTTGCACTGCAGGAACAAAACACTCCAAACAAACGCTTTACTTACATTAGACCCTAATGTCAGTGGCGTCTTCAGTGGCCCATATCCATTTGGCATTGATCCAGTGAGTAAATACACTAGTTATTATGGAGTCGCATTATTTTTACTTTAAAATATCTTTATGTTCAATCAGATCTGGAACATGGCTGTGAATCGTCTGTCTTTCCTCAACTCATACAAGATGAAGATGTCCGTGATCATCGGTGTCATTCACATGAGCTTTGGCGTGGTGCTGAGTGTCTTCAACCACCTGTAAGTGATTCAGGCTTCAACTTTGTTCACTTATTTAGCACCTATTGGATGGTGCTACATTAGTAGTGTTTTTTTTTTTTTTATATATAATTTTGGCACAAATAAAATCAGCCTCAGCTCTTCAAACTGAGCAGAAAACATGCCAAACAGTTCTCAGAATCAAAGAGAAACATGTTTGCCATTACAGTAGTCCCTCACTACTTCACAGTTTGTTTTTCGTGGTCTCACTATTGTGGTTTTTCAACGTAAGATTGGACATGACACACAATGACTGACTGATGGATGAGCCGCACGATCGGCATAGATTTTTTTTATTAAAATAAATTATTTAAAATGATTTAGCACCTGTGTGCAGCCCACAGCTGTGGGAGAAGTTTCCTCCTGCAGCTGATCAGCTGATCTCCAAGCAGAGCGGAGAAGTGGGTGTGGTTGAGGGTGCAGCCGGAGTCAGAGAGCTAAAATCATGACATGCTTGCTGTGTTCTTATCACGTGGCTTCAGGGTACAAATCCCCCGCGATAAACGAGGGACTACTGTATATTAAAAAGTGATGTGAAAACTGGAAAGACATTTCAAATACCTGGAATCAAAGTTTGACGCTTTTAAAAAGCAACAGATCGTGCTGGACCTGCTTCAAGATGCAACAGACATTATAAAATAAAATCAAAACTGCTATGAAGACAGAGATCAACAATAAAGCAAAACTTCTACACAGTAATAATTAAGGTTTACTTGAACATATACAGAAATCCCAGTGGAGGGGGCAGACTGAGGAAAACCACACCCATAGTTAATGTACATTTACACTCATCATTATTCCCTGTACAGTGAACACATTAAAAGTCTATTTTAGGGATACTGTCGCAAACACTGTTATGCGTTTTTGTTTGCATGTTTTCGTGGCATTTTGGACTTTATTGTGTATGGATGCATGTCACAGATAATAAATGATGCGTTCTTGTTCTTGCCTGGCGAACACATTAATGAATGTTTAATGATTGTTTAAGTTATTTTCTGTTGTTATGTGCTTTATGTATTGTGACACAGTGAGAAAAGAGACTCACTATTGCACCTTATTCACTGAACTTCATACTTGAAACAAAAATAACATGTTTCTTTTGTAGTTTTTACTATTTTTCTTGGTTCATCAATTGGAACAAAGAAATAAGATATCAGTATGAAACCTGGATTATTGTGACCAGTGCAATAATAATAAAGGACACTTTTTATTATTATTATTATTATTATGATTAAGTATGTTTGGTCATGTCAGTTCAACTCCTAGTATTAAGGGGTTAAGTATTAATCTGTTCATTTTACATCAGTACATTTGACAGTACCTTTTACGCCCCCCCCCCCCCTTAATATTTCCACCCCTGCAGTTCAACATTTAAAGACTAGTGGAGTCGCTGATCTTTGTCAGTAAACACAGCTATGAAACAATAATTGTCTCTGGAATGGATCGTAATCAGCCAAAGCTCGAGTCAGAAATCACAATCCACCAGTGGCCGTCTTGGTGCCTGACCATATTAGAATATATCTTTAAAAATATTGCACAATCATACGTGAGCAGAGTGAAGAGGAGGGGGCTCAGCACACAACCCTGAGGGGAGCCAGTACTGAGAGTTATGGTGGAGGAGAAGTTGTGGATCCTCACTGACTGTGGTCTGTTTGTTAAGAAGTCTAGGACCCAGTTGCAAATGGAGGAGCTTTGTCCTAGTGTGAGTAGTTTGTCCATCAGGGTTTGGGGGATCATGGTGTTGAAGGCAGACGTGAAGTCCACAAAGAGCATACGGACGTAAGAGTCTTTCTGCTCCAGGTGGGTGAGAGCAGTGTGGCCCACAGAGGAGAAGGCATCCTCTGTTGATCGGTTCTCACGGTATGCGTACTGATGATGGTCCTCGTTGATGTTGATGGTTGTCTTGATGTGAGTTATGACCAATTTTTCAAAGCATTTAGTGACTATCGGGGTGAGGGCCGCTGGCCGATAGTCATTCAGACCAGTCACTGTAGAGCTTTTTGGGACTGGGATGATGGTGGCAATCTTCAGGAAGAAGGGAACTGTCTCCAGGGTAAGTGAGGAGTTAAAGATGTCTGCCAGCACCTCACTGTCAGGATTTTGTGGACAGGAACGAACCCAATGTGCAGACAGGACTCAAACTCGGCAGATTACAAAAATAAGTATTTTAATAATAAATGAAGAACAAAACAAACAGCTGACGTGGCAGCAAAACTTACATGAAGACGGATGGCTCAAAGGGAAACTCAGGGAGGACTCAGGAAAGCTCAGGGGAGACGCAGGAGAACGCAGAGACCCAACGAATACGACCCGACAAAGGAACAACACAGAACAGGAGGCTTATATACAAGGACGAGACCAGACGTGATTACAACAGCAGGTGTGACGAGACAAAGGTGGCAACAATTAAACTGACGAGGAAACACAGACACAAACAGAAACAGCAAAAGGTGCCATCCTTACACTCACAGAGCTGATCGGCACATTCTTTCAACACTTTCCTGGGGATGTTGTCTGGGCCAGTTGCCTTGTGAGGGTTAATCCTCCTGAAAGTACTCCTAGAAACTAAAAGACCAATTATCACCAGGGAGGGATCTAAAACTTCACTGTAGAAAAGGAAAAAAAAAATTACATTACATACATACATTACAATTATATATATAGCTCAGAATCTAACTCTTCCTTCTGCCTGGACTAATAACTTGTATTACCTTCATTATGTATTTATTGCTTGGGGAAATTGTCTTTGTATTGATTTTTTTTTTAACCCTTAGGGGATCCAATCAATATTTCTTTACCTTTTACTGCTTCTTTAAATCTTCCTCTCTTTTTTTTCTTCCTTTCAGGCATTTCCATCAAAAATTCTGTGTCTATCTGGTGTTTCTTCCCGAGCTGCTCTTCCTGCTCTGCCTCTTCGGATACCTGGTCTTCATGATTTTCTACAAGTGGCTGACATTTAGTGCACGTTACTCCAGCCAGGCTCCCAGCATCCTCATCCACTTCATCAACATGTTTGTCATGCAGGGGAAAGATACAGCTCCTCTCTACCCAGGACAGGTAGGTGTTGACACCACCTGCTGTCAGGGCGGATTTACACTTCTTGTTAAAACACGATTTTAAACTGGTTGTTTTGATTTCAGACTGGGCTCCAGATATTCCTGCTTGCGATAGCCATGCTGTCCGTCCCTGTGCTGCTGTTGGGAAAACCTCTTTACTTGTACTGGCTGTATCGCGGCGGCAAAGCTCTGCGCAGACGCAGGGTGAGCCCAGCCCAGAATATTCCTTTCTTCTGATTTCTCTTTTCAGTGCTACTTCATCAGTTTTTACTGCTTCGCCTCAGGGTTACGAGAGGGTGAGGCGTGTCAGTGAGGACGATGGCTCCATTACAACCACCTGTGAAGAGGATGAAGAGGAGGGAATTGATGAGCTGACCAGCAGAGAAGCTCCTCCCAAACAGGTCAGAGAATAGTGACCTTTTTATTCACCACCCCTATCCTTTACAGGAAACTGTTTTCTAGTGTTTTTATTACTTAACAGAATAATTTGCGGTGGCCAAAGATTAATCAATGGTGGCCATCGTTGATTAATCTTTGGCCACCCCCTGGCTCCCCCATTGTGACTGGTCGTGGATAAAATTGCTCCCTCCACTTGCCAGGATCCATCACCCTGCACTGCCTCAGACAATCAAAAAAAAGCTACTTCTATTCTTCTATTATCTAGCACCAAAAGCATCAAATCCCTCAATGACGGGGGACATGAGCGTACTGCTTGTTAATTTTTTTAATTTACCTGAACTGTTCAGGCTGTTTACGTACAATAAAATAAAATCTGTAGAAAAACCGTCTGCTGCAGAGGATCGATCGGGAGTAACGTCTTACGTTTTGTCTGAACTGTTTTGCAGTTTGACTTTGCAGATGTGCTGCTGCACCAGGCCATCCACTCCATAGAGTACTGCCTGGGCTGCATTTCCAACACTGCGTCCTACCTGCGTCTCTGGGCGCTCAGCTTGGCTCACGCCCGTAAGAACACCCTTCTGCACTCTTTCTTTCTGCTGTCGCTTCTTCTGACTGAAAACGCCTCGTTCCTTTGTTCCTGTTGGATTTTAGAGCTGTCAGAGGTGCTGTGGGCCATGGTGATGCGCCTGGGTCTCAGGATCACCACAAAAGTCGGCGTAGTGTTCTTGGTTCCCGTGTTTGGGCTTTTCGCCACTCTCACCGTGTCCATCCTGCTGGTGATGGAAGGCTTGTCAGCATTTCTCCACGCTCTCCGACTTCACTGGTGAGTCTCAGTGCTGCTGGAACTCACTGCATGTTTGTAGATATAACTCGTTTAAAGAAATTAAATGCAGCACTTTATTTATCGCTAATTTTTATCACAGGAATAACAGACTCACAGAACCTATTAGATATGACTTAAAAGATGATGCAAAAATGTATTGAGATTAATTTTGGGTCAAAAAAGACCACAAAGAAGTGCAAAATCATCAAACATTACAGATAAAGCGTAACTATTTAGATAAAAAATAAACAGTGAGACAGCACATTAACAAACGTTGACACTGACAAATCCGTTTGTTTCATAGTTTTTTCTTGTAAAACATGTTTTGTGCTTCGCTGTGTTATCTCAGGGTGGAGTTTCAGAACAAGTTCTACCATGGGACCGGTGTCAAGTTCGTGCCCTTCGACTTCTCCCGCCTGCCCTCCGTTTTTGAGCAGGATGGTTTGCTTTAAACCCTCCGTGGTCGTGGATATTTGTGGACGAAGACTTTTACAGCTGTGAAGGTTTTTCTGAGAGTTAGAACAATTCACTCTGTGAAAACAACAACGAACCCTCAAAACTCTGAAACTGAAACTTGTAGCAACGTTTTTCACCTCGAGGGTTTTTAAACGCTGACTGCCTTACTACAGCAAACCTCCGACGGGCCAGATGTTTGAAAATGTTTATTCGGTATTTATTTATTTATTTATAGGATTTGCTTAGCTTTTCTTGTCTCCCCCCCCCCCCCCCACCAGCTGGGTGAGTTGATTGTTTTTATTTGCATCGTGCTGTGTTAACTGATTTTATTGGCTTTACAACATGGTATTTGAACAGTTATATACATTGGGGGGGAAAAGCATCCTGATGTAGCGCCATGGAGATTTATTTCTGATGATGAGGATGCTTTTGTTTGTCTGTTTGTTTGTTTTGAACTCCTTCGAGTGATAAAAGAAAAGCTGCAGACATCAAAATTTTAACAGTAGAAAACACTTTCGAGGCATTTTTCATGAAGCACTTTGCAGAAATGATTGTACAATTTAAACTTTTCACTAACGACTGATTATGCCAAATGAAAATATTCACTGTTTGCTATTTGTGTATTTACTTAATAATGCATTTATTTACACATACCCTTTCTTGTAATCAATTAAAACATTGAAAGCTCCAGAAATGGGAAAGAAACTGTACAATAGGTCTTTGAGTATTCTGCTTATTGCATTTGTTAATGCTAATTTATGATATTTATCTAATTTTTTGTCTGTACAAAAGTAATATTTTACCAGTCTGATGTGTCAAATAAAGATTTTGAGAAAGGCAAGCAAAAAAAAAAAAAGAATTTGCTCTTTTAATATTCTTGCATAAATGTTGGTTTCTGTTGTTTTTGTTGTTTTTTTGCATTTTCCCCCAGTGCTTTTTCTCAACAGCTGTTTTAATGACGAGATTAAAAAACAAAATCTGATACTTTCTATGATTGCATCAAATAATAAGTGTTTTATTTCTTCCCAAAAATGTTTATAGCAATTAGCAGTTAAACCATCTGGACTAGGCGAACGATTAGATGCATTTTTTAATACCAACCAACCTGTTGCTCTCATGACTTGACTTTAATTGTGCAGTCTTTTATGTCTTCTGAATTAAGTTGTGTCGTTTTTGCCACAGAGGCTAGCATAGCACTATGTTGCTTTATTTGTGAACAAAGGTCATCCATGCGGTCATCGAGCAAGTCGTTGCCCGAGTTGATTAATTGGCACTAAAATGTCTTTATTCAACGAGTTACAATCATTTTCTTCGTTTGTATCTTTAGACTTTTTCTCGTTTTTTTTTTCTAGTGTTCAATGCAAGTAGGTATCTCTGCAGACAAATTCGGAAGGCGTATCTGGGCGATCATATCTGATTGGACTATAGGAAAGTGGGCGTATCTGGGCGTCATATCTGATTGGACTATATGAAAATGGGCGTGTCTGGCCGGCCACATCTGATTGGTTACCCATAGCCAATCAGTGTTCACCGCCCCACAAACGCCTATTAAAAACTGTTAGCCAATCAGTGTTCGCCGCCCACAAACCATTAAAAACTGTTAGCCAATCAGTGTTCGCCGTCCACAAACGCCTATTCGCCAGAAATGCCCACTTTTGGTCTGCAGAGAACCCCTTCTCGTTCAATGGCGTCAGTTGGGACAGCCCCTCTTAGCAGGGGAGCTAGCATCCTGCATTAGCATAGCATAGTCATGCCCCGCTGCTTTTTCTGTTTGTCAAACCTGGAGAGATTTGACCCCAGGAGGGTTCTTAGAGCTGCTTTAACTCTGGATGCCGGGTGAGTATACTTCCGTCAGGAGATATAACACTTAGGTAAAAACAAATCAGGCGCAGCTTCAGTATAAAGCGACTGCTCCGCCATGTAAACAAGGAGATTGAAGTGGAGTTGTGGGACTCTGACACAACCTCTTTCGTTATTGTAGCAGGAAAAAGGACCTCAGCGACTAACCTCTAGATTCAGAGACGTTTTTTTTTTAAACCCCGTTCTCCAATTTGTGATTATGCTCATCTATTTATGGGACTAATCGGGAATCTGGTTGGAAAAGTATCTGTAATCCGTCATAGTTTAATAATAGGAAACCAATACAAGGTGAGTACAGCTGTACTGAACTGAAAAGAATTAGTATTGTTTCTCTCAAAATATGTTTTAATTTTTCAGATAATCATGTCCAGACGACTTCACGCAAACAGAACTGTTGGCGTTGATAAAAATGTTTGGTAAGTGGAGATTTAGGAGGATTACGTCATTCATTCAGAAACTAATGTATTGACGAAGACAAAGTAATTTTTAATTCAAGTCAGGACTTTACGTCTCAAAAGGTTTGTATATGTGTACTGAAGAGGCTGAGCTCAGTCTATAAGAACTGTTTGATTGCAGGAGAACTGGGAGAGGACCAGAAAGAGACCAAAGTCCTTATTCTTGTGAGTGGTGAAACATTTGCAGTAAAATCCTCATCATCGTGACAACAAGAATAGTCTGAGATTATTTTATGTTCCTCAGTGTTTTCCCCTTTGGGTTTGGATTGTTCAAAGCTTAAGGTTCATTTGGACCAAATGCTTTGGTGTGTGATTAATTTTATGCAGTTACGTGTGAAAATATCTGAACATTTTTTTCTTATTTCATGTGATTAATAAAACACAAAACATCTTCAAGTTATATTTACGTAAATCCAAGCCTTTTTTTTTAAATAAATAATTCTTTAAGCTTTAAAAAGTTCCTTTCATCATACAGTACGTTGCATATCTGCTTCTATCTCCCACACCTCTAATCAGCAGTGTGTGTTTTTAAAGGAGTCACATTGTCCACATTACACTTTTTAAAGGTTGTTTTTAATTCAATAGATTTAATTTAACTTGACTGCATTTAATTGTCAAAAGCGCATTTAACAAGACATGATTAATGATTAATGTAGCTGTGATATAACTCACCAGTTCCTTTTAATATTTAACTTTCTGTTATGCTTTACTGTAAAAAATATGGCAGTGCTAGAGTTTAAAGGGATACTTCAGACATTTTTGAATGGAGTTCTGTAGATTGTTTATGAAAAATTAATATCTTACCTGTTCTAGAAAGCTTTTTGAACAACCCAAGTTTGGAGAAATGGGGTTTAATGGTGCTGGTCAGGGTTATTAAGAATAGCTTCCGACGCAGTATGTGACATCAACAAATACCCGGATTTCAGGCAAACAAAACTTTTGAGTACATTTCAATTATTGCTGTAGGCGTCGTTTGCGCTAATTACAAACAAAAAAGTATCTTGGAAGCAGTGTTGCTTCGGGACTTGCAATATTGACGCTTGATTTGCGGACAAGTCACATATTCACATTATTTGGTTCTTGCCATTTCCAAAGCAATCTCACACCAGCAACTCAAGTCCCCGAACGAGCGTGTCCATCCATCCATTTTGTTTTATCTGCTTTTTTCCTTTTGTTTCAGAAACTAACAGAAGCACTGAATGTCTTTTTCAACCCGCCCATCCTAATTTGTCTCTTTTAGGTGCTTAATTCAGCTTCCTGGTCATGTGGTCATTTGACTTAAAAGCTTATAACCATATGAGCTAAAACATTTTCACTTTTGAAAAACAGAGTGAAAGAACCCATCACTAACACCTGCTAATACCTGCTAACAAGTAAAATAAAAGGAGAGGCTGGCAAAATCATCTTTCGTCCTGCCGCTGAAAGCCTGTGCGGTACATAACGAATCAATGGCGTGCATCATACTGCACTGCTCGGCCCCTGCATTGTAGCCAGAGCTTGAGCTGTGCATTGCTGTATCCTTAAGTTGATTTTGGCTGTGAGAACGTTGTTTTTGTTTAAGTTTACATGGACAAAAGTATTGACAGTGGCCATTGTGCATGCAGTCTGCTGCTTTGTTTGTCTGACATCCAGGACTTTTGGGGATTCCCCACAATTCATACTATTCCAAACCAAGGTTGTTCAAAGAACTTTCTATAACAAGTAAGATAGTATTTGTTCATATCCTTCCTACTTGTATCCATTTAATAGTGTGGAAAATGTGCATTTAAGTATAATAAGATGTCTAAAAATGCATTGTCTGGCCTGTTTGTGCCAACAGGGTTGAGTTCACACAGCTAGCTGCAGACTACAAGGCAGTGAACCTGGGTCAGGGCTTCCCTGACTTCTCTCCTCCACAGTTCATTCAGGATGCTTTCTGTAAAGCTGTGAGCGGAGGACCCTCAATGCACCAGTATACTAGAGCTTTTGTAGGTGACGCGTCACAGCACAAATCTTTTGTTTTATAAATGTAAAACTAAAGCTTTTTTGTTGTTGTTGTTTTTTCTTTATGAATAATGTGTTGAAAGAACAAGTGTCACTTTAGTTTTTTTGTCCCCCCCACCAGGGTCATCCTCGTCTCGTAAAAAGCCTCGCCAAATTTTTCAGCAACATCATGGGGCAGGAGATTGATCCGTTCGAAGACATCTTGGTGACAGTTGGAGCATATCAGGCCCTCTTCTGTGCATTTCAGGCTCTGATTGATGATGGCGATGAGGCAAGTCAGCTGAGAGCTGTGGGAGGATGTTTGACTATTAGCTAAAACTGAGCTGACAGTAAAATGTTCTTCCAGGTCATAATCGTTGAGCCGTTCTTTGACTGCTACCAGCCGATGGTGCTGATGGCTGGAGGGAATGCAGTGTATGTTCCTCTGAGACCAGTAAGCGGTTCACCATTCTTCTTCTTTTCCAACCTTCTGTTTGATGAGATAAAAAAACGTTTTGCTGGTTTGTTAACAGAAAGAGGGCAGCACCGTCCTGTCGAGTGGAGACTGGGTTCTTTCTGCTGAGGAACTGTCCAGTAAAATCACTCCCCACACTAAAGCCATTGTCATTAACACTCCCAACAACCCTTTAGGCAAGGTAAGCTCAAAGACTTTGTGCTCACATTTTGCTCATTAATTTTCATTAAGTGAAGTTTGGGACACAAACGTGCATTTGCAGGTTTACCAGCTGGAGGAGCTCCAGATGATCGCCGATTTGTGTCTTAAACACGATCTGCTGTGCTTCAGCGATGAAGTGTACGAGTGGCTCACCTACGACGGAGCCAAACACATAAAGATCGGTGAGCCACAGCTCAGCAGGATGTACCTGTAAACCTGCGGGGGCAGACTTCATTAATAGTTTTTGTGTTATTGGCAGCCAGTCTTCCTGGGATGTGGGAACGGACCGTAACAGTCGGCAGCGCCGGGAAAACCTTTAGTGCTACTGGCTGGAAGGTAAAACACAAAACTGACATGTTGCCTCTCTTGTTTATTTATTTGTTTTATGTTTTGTTGTTTTCAGGTTGGCTGGGCCATAAGTTCTGGACATATTGTCAAACACATGAAAATCGTCCATCAGAACTCCGTTTACCACTGTGCAACAGCAGCTCAGGTACGATCAACCACGACTCCCAGTCCCTTATCCAGTTAGTCACCCCAAAGCTCCAGTGTGCAGGATTTAGTGAAGATTTGTGGTTTACCTGTAAAGAACGTCTGCTAATATATCAGAGTCAGAGTCAGAGTTTCTTTATTGTCATTCACACCTCATGTGGTACATGTGGTGGAGCGAAATTATGTACACAGGGTCCCAGTTACATCCAACAATAAAATGTATAAGAAAATGTATAAGCTCAAATATCCACTGAATGTTGCACACTGGAACTGAAATACATTTGGTTCTGAGTTTTAAACCGTTTTAGCGGTGCTGTGGAGTTCTGACCACAACTTTAAAATATTCAGCAAATCAAAATAAAGTTTAGACCACCTCCTTACTTTAGTTTCAGGTTCTGATACTTTAAAAAGTAGTCTAGTTCTTCAGTGAAAATTTAAATAAGGAGAGAAAAAAAATCAGTATGTTAAAGGGATAGTTCAAATCTTTTCATGAGTAGTTCATCAATCCAGTCAGAATTAAGCTATTTCGCTAAAACTAAGTCATCAAAAGAGCGATCTACTACATATATTAATTGTAAGAGAAACCGTTTTTATTTGTTTTAATTAGTAAAAATAAAATATGGTCATGTTTTACATTTAAAAAACTTGTATTATTGGAAAATGTTCACTGTCTTTGAAGAGTTATAACACTTTGTAAATTATTGTAAAAGAGACATGTTTCATCCATCAGAATCAGAAAACGGTTAATGAAATGTAAAATCTAACGTGTTTTAAAAGTTTTCTTTTCATTTAGAAATCATTACATCTATTTAATATGTTTATGTATCTATTGATGTCTGCAGTAAAATAAATGGTTACATTAGTGTGTGTGTTAGTTTTCTGCTGATGGATCACAGAAGAATGTGTGGCAAATATCCATATTTGAAAGCCAATCATTCACTTTTTTATGCTTAATCCTGGGAAATTATTACAGTTGTGGAATTACAAAATATAAATGATGCAAAATGTAAGGTCCTGAAAAATATATTTCTGTATTTTTATTCATTTGTGCTTTTTGATACACACAGGAATGCCCCATTAGGCTGGAAAATGTTTGTTTTGTGTTGCTCTTTTCACGTTTTCTCCTTTGTCCAGTCATCATTTGTAGATTTAGCTTTGATTAAACCTTTTAAATTCTTCTAGAGCCATTTATGTCCATCTCACTCCTCCTTCTGCTCCTCAGGAGGCCGTAGCTGCTGGCTTTGAGAGGGAGTACGAGCTTTTCGGGACTCCAGAGAGCTACTTCCAGCAGCTTCCCGCCATGCTGCACCACAAGAGACAGAAGCTGGCCTCGTGCCTGCTGAGCGTTGGCCTGCAGCCCATCATGCCTGAGGGAGGATATTTTATGATCACAGACATCTCCTCCGTCAGTATGTGACAACAAATACTGAGCCGGATGTTTCTGAAATCCATTGTCATCTTGGTTGGGTTGATTTATGCTTTAATGTTTTAATTTATAACAGAAGTGGACCTGAATGATGAGAGCACCAAGGATGAATCGTACGACTTTAGATTTGTCAAATGGCTGATTAAAGAAAAGGTAAAGATTAGTTTGTCAGAAGATATATTTTTCCCCCCAAACATTAATTCTTTTCTTCTTATTCCAGGGTTTAGCGACAATCCCAGTCTCGGCTTTCTTTAGTCCAGAGCACAGCAAGGAGTTTGACAAATACATCCGCTTCTGTTTTGTTAAGGTGAAAAAAGAAATAAAGTCCCGCTTTGCTCCTCTTTTCTCAATCACAGTGTCTTTTGTTATCTCCTAACAGGAGGACTCCACCCTGGACGCAGCGGAGGACATTCTGAGAAAATGGAGTCAAAAGAAGTAAAACAAGCCATCTATTATTATTTGACCCATCAAACTAACTTCTTCATCCTCCTCAGGAAAATCATCAAGACTATTCAGTGTTTTTTTTTTTTTGTTTATCCCCAGTATTAGAATATCATATTATATACTTGAAATAATTATATATTGATGGTAGGAATAATTGTCTTGCCTCAAAATGTGCAAAAGGTTTAATAAAGCTTTTTAGGAAACCATTCATCTGTGTTTTTTTGTTCTCATCATCATCTCATTCTTCTAAAATCTCATTTTAAAAGGCCTTGTTACAGGCTATGTATAAAAACTATTAAAAGTTTCTTGTGTTTTGTGAATAATGAAACAAAAATGTATAAATATATTTGGATTCTGCTTGTCGGTAAACAATTACTGGAAGAATAAAAATTTTAATAATATACTAAGTTTGAGTATAAGTCAAATTGGGTGACTGCCAGATAAACTCAGCTTGTTCTTTTGAGTGTGAACTTAGTGTTTAAATCAATAATTAAGAAAGAAAATGTTTTTTATTTATAATTTTTTTTTCCAATTCATCTCCGGAAAGAAAACAGAAATTATTGTCAAGAACATAAAGCAGTTGCCCTTTTGTGTTTGTATCTGTCTGTATTCAGTCACTTGGAAGTATTCAAAGCATAACATTCAGTAAATGGCATGCTTTTTCATAGATTTACTAAAATCATATTTAGGTCTTACTCTTCAAAGGTTTTCCTGTAAATAAAGCAAAAGAGTTAAAATAGAATTGTAGTTTTTGCATTTATCTTTTTTCTTTTTTTAAATCTTAACATTAAAATCAGTCTGTTGACTTGTTTTGATAATAGTGAAAAAAAATTATATATTTTTTTTTTCCTCTATTAATCATAGTAATTAACCATGGTTGTCATTCAATGGTCGAAATGACGGGTATGTTGGGTTGATCGACTTTTATTTTGAAGTCGGATTATGAATCCGGAAGTACATGAACCTCGTTTTGTTGCAAAGGAGACGGTGCAGTGTCAAAACTAAACGTGTTATCTCAGGCAGGAGATATTAAGCTTTTGTGATCATTAAAGTGCATTTATTAAGGAAAAGTTAAACTGAGACAATTTTGCTATAATGCCAAGCAAACAAATCGTTCATCTTGTTAAATTCTGTAAAATTGTTCTTGCTTTGATTTTACTTTTTATTGTCTGTTCGAAATAAACAAAATTACAAGCCGTAATCGATATTTGGCCGCCTGTAAATCGATCTTGACCGCCCGGCGTTTATAACCATTATTAAGGAGATTATTCAGCATTTATTAAGGAAAAGTTAATCAGAGACACACGTTTGCTATAATGTCGAGAAAACAAATAAATGTTTTTAGGTGTTAATTTTGTTAAATTTCGAAAAACTGCAACAGCGAGTCCTCCCGTGCGCGCTCCCGCGGCCGCCAATCGATTTTTGGCACGAGACGGGTCCAGCTAACGCTACAGTACAGCTGCTGCCAACTGCGCACGCAGTCACTGCGCCGAGTCTCGGAACATCCTGCAGGAGGAGGGAGGCAAATGAACGAGCTGGTGAGGAGCCTGCCCTCCCCGACTCTTCCCGGGCTGCACCTGCAGAGTCTGGACACCCACAGGGGCTGGCTCTTCAAATGGACCAACTACCTGAAGGGCTACCAGCGGCGCTGGTTCGTCCTCAGCAACGGCCTGCTGTCCTACTACAGGTACCGGTACCAAACGGGCCGAGCGACCGTCAGGGCTCCCCCCGACACACACCTCGCAGTTTAAAAGAAAGTTCAAAACGTGGGTCTTTTTTTGTTTAAGTGAGTTCCGAACAGGGGCGGTCCTAGAATCAAACTTGCAGGGGGGGACCACTGTCCCTAAAGGAGGCAAAAAAAAACAGTTCCACCTCACTGGTTCTCAAACTGTGAGGTAATGGTGCCCTTTCATATCAGAGTTTTAAACCATTTTAGGTTGAAAAAAGTTTACCTGTTTTTGGTCCAACCTTGTGAATATAACCTTGAAATGTACAGTAGACCCTCACAACTTCACCGTTCAACTTTCGCGTACTTGCTCTTTTGTGGTTTTTCAACGATTGTCAACTTTAAAATTACTCACGTGATTGGGAAGGTACGAGATAAAAGTTAATGAAAAAATACTTTGGACTGGCGCCGCCATTTTGTAGTTTTCTTTTAATGCTAGAGCTGTCTTTTATAACCCGAGCCCTAAACCTGGCCTCACCCAACCCGAATTTGGGGCGGGCCAAGCCATGATAATGTGCTAGATGGGCGAGACAGGTCGGTGTCGGGCTTTTAATTGGGTCAGAGTCAGCCGCGATCCAATTATATGATAACATGGCCTGCCATATACCCACCAGCCGCACGCAACCATTTCACCGTGAGCTGATCGACTTTGAAAGAGGTAAAAAGTTCAGTTAAGCTTCAGATGGGACTATACTGCCAGGCAGCGATCCATCACCCAAATGGATGTTCGTTCAGCCGCTACACTCAGCGGACACGCGGCTGACGACCCAAACAGGTGAGATCTCAAAGCAGATGTGTCAGAGCACGGTCTGTGTCTGAATAAATCAGAATGCAGGCAGAAACTGGGTTTAAATGCTCTTTTACGGCCATGAAATGACAAACACCCCCTCAACTCCGAATCTTGCGCGTCCCCGACCGTTAATAACTAATTAAAAATGTCGTGGGTGGTGGTGGTGGTGGTGGTGGTGGGGGGGGGTTGTCCAGGTTCAGTAATTACTGTTAATTTGTCAGGTCGGGGTGGGGTTTGGAAATTATGACTGCGGACTGGGGACGGGTTGGATCAGATTTTTTGGGCCCGAATGCAACTCTAGCCTATACTGTAAGGCCAGTCAAAAAAAACTACACTACCCAGAAGCCAACAGTGCTCTATCCAGAAGCCAACACTGCTTCTGGCCTCTCCTTTCGGCCGAAATGGACGAAAACTTTTGCAACGCAACTCTATGCTATCTATTAAGCTCACAGAACTGGCAGGAAAGTCGTAAATAATCCTGACGCTCAATATCCACGCGCACATCATCCTGGATGGCTCGGTGGGCTTTGTCACTGTAGGATAGGTCTGCAGAACCGGAACCGAGCTGCTGTTATGCAGAGCTGGTGTGTAAAATTTTGCTGTACAGTACATATACGTATGTTGTTAAAATTACGTAGGTTAAAGAGTTTAGAACATTGTAAGAGCGTGGGAAGGGTTTATAAAGCCTTAAATACATAAATACTAAAATAAATATAGCAAATTCCTACTTCGCAGTTTTTCACTTATCACAGGGGGTGGAGGGTGGAACGTAACCCCCGCGATAATCGAGGGACTACTGTAATGCAAGATCATGAAATGTGTTAGCAGCAGTCCGAGAAAGTATTGAGGGTGACTCTCAGCTACTACCACATCAAATTATACATGCACACTGGAAAATGAGCTGTTGCCATTTTCTGTGTTGGCTAAGGTCAATTAGTGTTGGTGGCCATCTTGAATTGGGTTGACTCCAAAGGGTATTGAGTTGTAGATGTACATCCAAAGTGTATGTTAGGAGTTTCATGAAAATATGTCATGACTGGTTCATGAGACATGTTACTGATGATACAAACAAGCACACACATGCACTTACACACAGATACAGGCAAAATCGTTATCACCTTTTAAGCCTAGATAAAGATACAAACACCCGTGTAACTAGGTAGGTAGGTGAGCGGATGGATGGATGGACTAGGTAGGTAGGTGAGCGGATGGATGGATGGACGGACAGACACCGGTAGATACTAGTAGATACCAATGGATAGATAGATAAAGGTATATATATTCCATATATATCTTCTCTTTTAGGGATGTTGATGTCAATTTTAAGGGTGCTTGAGTATAAATCCAATTCATGCTGTTGTCCCTCAGGACTCAGGTGGAGATGGCTCACACTTGCCGGGGTACCATTCCCTTGGCGACAGCTCACATCGAGGTGGGTGACACGTGTCACTTCGTGTTGACCAGCGGAGGCCGGAGCTACCACCTGAAGGCCACCTCGGAGGGAGAGTGTCAGAGATGGGTGTCAGCCCTGCAGCACGCCAATGCCACCCTCCTGATGCATCATTCAGGTGAGATCTGAGTTAATATTTCTCAAGTAAACTGGGACTTTTTATAGACAATAAATAGTTCATTTCTATCATGAGTGATTCGTTGTTTCTTCTTTAGAAGGGGACCGACTAACCTGGAAAATTTGCTTCAAAAGAACAGCATGGTTCTTCTGAGAAAGCCTGTAGTCAAACTAATTTTAGCTGCTGTAACCTGAATGCAGGCTGGCTGAGCCACTTCCCTAGAAGCATTATGTTTCTTTGTCATTTTAGGTGTAATGCAACAACAAAACACCAGGGGTCAGTGTTGTGCAGCGTCTTCTCATTGGTTTAGTCTGTTCAGGAAAACATTGTTTAAAGGCAAAAAGGATAAAAATGTGACTAAATCGTATAATATATAAAATATGGGTTAAAATTATATATACCCTGAATTTCTAAACATGTATGCTTGTTCAGTCTTGTGTCACTTGAGAACGCAGACACGCATCCACTTCCCCGTCCTCCATCCCTGCATCCTTCAGTATGATGGCAGCGAAGCTGAATGAAATGACCTTCCTCTCCTGACTCCTCCTCTCCCTTTGCTAGCAGGAGGGGTTTTAAAAAGAGGGACAGAGAGAGAAAGAGCAGAGCATTGTTTGTGGCTTTCATTGAAAATATTTTCCACCACATGGAGAACAGGCAGGTACGAGTGCAGGCTTTTCTCTGAGTGTCACCTTGTAAGTAAGCTGTTTTTACTGTTACTTGGACGCTTTATGTTTAATTGATTCCTTGCATCGTTCTAAGTGACGGATTTTGTCCTGAAACGTGTTTCAGAGTTCAGCCAGTTTTTACTACTTGGTGAAAACATTCATTTTTTAACGTTAACAAAATGACATTTGTTCTCAAACTCATTTCAAACCAGAACAGTAGGATTATATTTACGATTGGTTTAAATTATATTCTCTTTGAGACGATTATGTACATATGAATGATTAAAGATGTGGTTGTAAACACGCTTTGAAAAAGCCTTCCACACGCGAGAAGCAAATGTATGTTTTGTGTCATTCTGATCACCTTGAGAATTATAAGCTGCATCTACCAGCAGGCTTTGCCACAGTAGCTATTACAGCTTAAATTGTGAGCCCATTTAGGGATTTTTATACAGCTTGACACCCTCTTAGAGTTCTTTTTGCTCATTATTCCAGTCATAAGTTTGTAATTTGCAAAAGAATACCTTGGATTTCATTCAAATAGCTGTGAAAAGCATAGAGGATGCACATGTTAAATGAGCAGGGATGCAAATCCTTGTGCATGTTGGTGAAGTGATTACAGATGACGTTGCACGAGCAGTTATGGCCTCCGTTCCAGGACAAATTAATTACCTGTAAGTGGATGAAAACGACAGTAATTAACTGGAGTTTGAAATGGCAGGGCACCGAGTTTATTATATCGTCCACATTATGAGCACACATGGGATGAGCTTTCTTTTCATGCATACAGTATTTATAAGTAGTTGTTGTGTAGCTGTTATATTTTTAATTCTGGTATACATACACAACACTGTTAGAATGAATAAATCAGCTGTTTGTATGGAGGTAAAAGGCTTTAAATTCTCTGTTCGAGCTGCAAAAATTCACACTGCTCCCCCTCTTCTGGTTTTTAACTCTTGACTCTCTTCCCACACTAATGACGCTCCCTTTATCACCTGTGGGTGTCATTTTTTTGTAATTTAACAATGAGTCATCGTTGGGGCTCAGCCTGTCCAGTATCCTGTGCACAAGAGAAAGAACTCATTGCTGCACACCTTTATATGTCTTTTACTTGCACTCGCAGCACAGTCTCAGGATGAGTTTTGCCGTTTAGTGTCTTTGCATGTCCATCAAAACATGTTGGATGGCAGATGGCTGCAGAACAAGACGTCTTCACACCTTGAGCAGCTGAAATCTGCTAGACGTCAGACGTGGAGTCATCACAGAAGCCTGAAGGGGTTTTCAACCCTCTCATTTTTAATCTTCTCCAGAGACTGCTAATCCAGTTTACCCTGATTGTCTTTGTAGTTATTTATTTATTCTTCTCTTTAATAGACTGTGGTAGTTTTTCTGCATGCTTTGACACTCACATTACTACACTGACCCAGATACAGATGGCATGATTTTGAGTTCTGAGATTTAATACACCAATCCTTTAGAAGAGATTGTTTTGACCCAGAAAAAGTTTCATTACATTGGATGGAGTTGCATGCATTTTGGATCTGGATTATTTTTATGATTTATATAATCGTATAAAACCTGAAGATTTTATTTTCCCCAATGTCTTTTTTTATGGATAAACATGCAAATATATATTTTTAAGAAATATTACTCTATACAAACACTGTTTTATTCTCCTAAATTCCTTTCTTTCTTTTTTTTAACCCACATTCAAAAGAGTTGTGTAAAGTATAAATAAATGCTTAATGCAATGGCTTGCAAATCTCATAAATTTATATTTTATTCATAAGGGAAAAGAGTAAACATATTAAATGTTTAATAAAAAAATATATATATATATTACCAAGTTAATTTTGAATCTGATGGCAGCAACGCATCTCAAAGAAAGTTGGTCTGTTTCCTTCTGTGAAGCATCCCCTCCTCAGCTGCTGGAGTTTTACAGAACGCATCCCATTCTTGTTTGATGTAGGATTCTAGATGTTCAACAGTCCTGGGTCTTCTTTGCTGACTTTTATTTTGCCAATTATGTTCTCAAACCTATAAATACCATTCTGTATCGATGATGCCACTAATGCACCTCCATACCATTAGCGAGTCAAGTTTATGTTGATAACAGGCCGGATAGCCCCTCCCTTTTTTTTAGGTCAGAGGACATGGCATCTATGGTTTTCCAAAATAATTTCACGTTTTGATTTGTTTGACTTCAGAACAGTTTCACACTTTGCCTCCGTTCATTTTAAATGAGATTGGTCTCAGAGAAGACAGACGTGTTTCCGGATGGTGTTCACATATGGCTTATCTTTGCACGATAGAGCTTTAACATGCATGTGTGGATGGCACAATGAGCTGTGTTTACAAACAATGATCCGTGGAAATGTTCCTGAGCCCATGCAGTGACGTCCAGAGCAGAATCAGATCTGTTTTTAATGCAGATGCTCTGAGGATCACAAGCGTCTGATGTTGACTTTCAGTCTTAACTATCTCCAGATTATTGGAATATTTTTATATTATGAACTGTAGATGACAGGATAAAAGCCTTCCTAAATGTCTGATAGGAACATTATTCTGAAATTATTCCACTATTTTTAGACAGTTTTCTCAGACTGGTGAACCTCTGCCCATCTTTACTTCAGAGAGATTCAGCCTCTCTAAAATGCATTAACCTATTAATCTAAATTCCAGTTAACATAATTCAACACAAAAGGATTTTGCAGCTGCTTCTTATTTGTGACACTTACCTTTTAGAGCCTTTTGTTGTCTCTATCACAATGTTCTTGAATGTGTCGATTAGGCCTGTCGCAATACACAATAAATCAATTAATCGCACGATAAATGAAAATTATCAACCTCGTTTTCATTTATCGGCTTTATCGTTTCTTTGTGTTTCTCTGTTTCCACTGAAGACACGGTTCAACTCCGGTGCTCTTTACTGACCCCTCCCTTTCTCTTTAAAATCTGTTTTAACCATACAAATCCCGTTTTTGGATCGTTAAAAGCAGCTAAGCTGAGAAGCTAAGCTACGAGCTAAGCTAACAGGCTGACCTCGGGGAAAAACCTCCGTTTTGTCAAAGCTTCAAAGTGTCTCCCTCCCATTTTTCTTGCTCTCTCACTATCCATCCTTCAGTTCAAACAGTCTTACACTGCCATCCGGTGATCAACAAAAGGTACCACACGCATAACAAAACATAAGATGGGAAACATTTCTTCTTAAATTTGACAACAATTACAATAATTACTAATTATTGTCAAATTTCAAACAATATTATCGTTTATCGCAATAATTTCTGAGACAATTAATCGCCCAGCAAAATTTGTTATCGTGACAGGCCTAGTGTTGATACCGGAAAACTCAAAATTACCTTGTTTTTTCCAGAAAATAATACAATTTCTTAGTTTCAGCATTTAATACAATATGTTTACACTGTTAAATTTTGAATAAAATATGGATTAAAAAAATTGCAAATCGTTGCATTCTTTTTTTTTTACGTTGTGCACAACGTCCTAACTTTTTCAGCATTGGGGCTGTAAGATGACAGATATTAAGTTATTGTAGATTACAACTTTAAAATAGTACAGATTAAATCTAATATTGTGCATATACTTTGTAATGTCTGAAAAACCTTGAGACACTTAGCTCAACTCATGCCAGCAGCAGTTAGAAAGAGCCACAAAGAGAGAAAGGAAAGGGTGCGTCATCCTTTTTTCTCCCTTTTTTCTAAAAATAGCGTTGCCTCCTGATTGCACAGGTCCTGCGTTTCCTGGGCAACCGTTTTCATTCACAGCTTTCAGATTTTGTAAATGAAAGGATGCTGAAGTCCAGAGTGAGGTGTTATTTTTCGCCATCCACTCGCCATTAACACCCTCAACTAGTCCCACTCTAATTTTAGAATATTTAAAATATCTTCCCCAGACTCTCAGATGAAATCTTGCTTCCCATCTTCTCAGAGAACGTTCGAACACGATAACCTATAAAAACAGTTTGTGGTAAGTTGTTAAACTGGTGACGTTTTTGTACCTCTGCGTGAAGACGACTCAGGAGATGAAACCCCTGCGCCTCAGGGGGAACATGCCCTGAACAAAGGTGTGCTCAAGACCCTGGCCACCAAGTTGGAGGATCTGGGTACCTGCAATGAGCTGATAGGGAAGCACGGCGCCGCCCTCCAGCGCTCCCTCAGCGACCTGGAAGACCTGCGTGGCTCCACTGACAGCACAGACAGAGTGAAAGCTGTGAACGAGCGAGCCACGCTTTTCCGCATCACCTCCAATGCTATGATCAATGTGAGTTCACGCACTTCAAACTTCTGCAGCCTGATAAGTTTTTTTGCAGCCTCTTGACGTGCGTTGCGTTCCCACTTCAGGCTTGTCGTGACTTTTTGGACGTGGCCGAATCTCACAGCCGGAAGTGGCAGAAGACTCTGCACTATGAGAGAGAACAGCGTCACCATCTGGAGGAGACCATCGAGCAGTTAGCCAAGCAGCACAACAGCCTGGAGAGAGCCTGGAGGGAGAACCCCACCTCGTATGCAGGTGAGACTTGCCTCCTCAGTCGCCTAGACAACTCCATACTGTGAAGAGAAACGCACACAAAATGTTGAATTAAAGAATGTGGCCCTCTTCTAGCTTCTAGTAGTGATGCATGTCTGTAAGAAAAATGTCACAGAATGTGTTGGGAAATTAATATATTAGTCAAAAAGGCATAAATTATGTTTTGGTGTGCTCTGTTAGTTTTTCTGTTTGTTACAACTTCTCATAGTTTTTTTTACTTTTTTGAAGCATAGTGTGTAATTCTTTGTGTTGAATTTGAAACTTTTGCATCTACGTTTAAGTTCACATAATATGAACACAATATTCAAGGTCTTTTAGTGACAGTAAGGATGAAACGATATTGCTCAAATTACACAGATTTTAGCAAATACTGTACTTTTTGCTGTATTATTTGCACCTTTTTGCATAAATTAGCATGCCCTGTGAAGCGACTAATATACATTTTTCCCCATATTTCTAACCCAATTTTTGGCTGAGATCTGACGATTTCATTCATTCAGACATGGGAAAATATTGAACACTACCATTTTGAGCCACTAGAGGCGCTCGAGCAATGTGGTAAGCCAAGTGTCTCATTAATACCATACTATACCAATTTATTTATAGAGCATTTAAAACAGCAACAAGGCCAACCAAAGTGCTGTACAATAGAAACAAACAAGCACAGCTGACAGGAAAACAAAATAAAAATATAGATACAAATAGCAGCAGATAATAACTGAATGGCCAACACGGTAGAATACAGACAGGATCAAAACAAATTACACTGTGTCAAAGGCAAAGGAATAAAAGTGGGTTTTCAAGCGAGACTTTGGGAGCCTGCCTGACATGCAGTGGCAACTCATTCCACAGTCTTGGACCTGCAACAGAGAAAGCCCTGTCACCTCTGAGCTTATGACGGGTTCCTGGAACTGAAAGAAGCATCTGGTCTGCTGACCTCAGAGAGCGCAGTGGGACATATGGCTGCAGAAGATCAATGAGATAAGATGGGGCCGAACTGTTCAGTGGTTTAAAAACATACATGAGTATTTTGAACTGGATTCGAAGGTGAATGGGTAGCTATTGCAGGGAGGCCAAAACTGGAGTAATGTGCTCTCTTTTGCCTGTACCAGTTAAAAATCAGGCTGCAGCATTTTGGACCAGTTGTAGCTGTGCAATGGAGGATTGATTGATTCCAAACAGAAGCGCACTGCAGTATTCGTAGTATTTCAGGATGTTATGAACGCATGGATCACTGTCTCAAGATTCTTTTTGGACAGTATGGGCTTCAGCTTAGACAGCCGCCTCAGCTGAAAAAAAAAAACAGGATTTAACAATCATGTTTACGTGACTGGTTATCTTGTTAAATTTCGAAGAAATGCACAGCAAGTCGTCCCTCTGCGCACTACCGCAGCAGCGAATCGGCTTTTGAAATGCAGCTGATTTGACCGTCAAAGTGCATTTATTAAGCAAAACTTAAACTGAGACACACCTTTGCTATAATTTTGAGCAAACAAATAATTGTTTTTAAGTGTTAATCTTGTTAAATTCTTGTTAACTCCCGCAGCCGTCATTTGGCAGCCAATCGATTTTTGGCACATCGGCCCACATTTCCGCATAACAAACGCAACACGTCAGAGGTGACACATAATAGATGCGACTTATACGGTGAAGCGACATATTTATGTTTTTTTTCCACTTAAACATATTTGGACTGATGCGACTTATTCGGCGGTGCGACGTGTACAGCGGCAAGTACGGTAATTCTCCCTTTTGAAGAATTAAGCAAATGAAAGTAGCAATTCTTAAAGGAATGCATATCACCCGTTGCCTTGCATGTCAAAAGTTTTAACAAAAAGTGTGCGATGTGTATGGGATGATAATGACTTTCAGCTACTACTACGCCAAATTTTAGCTTAGTGTCTGATTGATTGGTGGCCATCTTGAATCAGGTTGAAAGAAAGGTAATTATAGATGTACATCCAGTGATTACTTTTTAAATTTTATTAAACTCATCCAGTAGTTCATGACATATTTTGCTGACACGCTGTCAGGAGATTGATAGAGCTGATAAATATTGCCAATGATCATGAGTTGCAGCCTGACATATTGAGCTCCACCTTCACGAGTCACATCAGGGAAATCATTTAATAACATTCACATGTATAACTGTCAAAAATATGGAATAGCACACAACAAACAGATCAGTTTCGAACAAGTTCTTGTAAAGTTTTCATTTAGTTATTCAGCCTCTGACTGTTCCTTCCACAAAAACTATTTAGTTTATTTAAAATGTTTTGAGCCAATAAAAAAAGACTGGGTTTATACAGTTCAGAGAGTTCATCTGAGAAATGAGTAGGTGCCACGTCCATGTTTTTTTTGTTTTTTTTTACTTTAAATGTCATTTATATATAAAAATCCAGTGTTTTCATAAGATTGTATTGCTTAAAGAAAGATAAAAGTGTCACAGCAGTTTTTTTTAAACAATAAAGGTTAAAGTAAATGATAAAAAGTTCAAACCTTGTATAATTATCCGATAATTTACTGTAAATCTACCAGAAAATAATACAAGGTTTGAACTTTTTATCTTCTACTTTGTGGTGAGAGAAGCTTTTCCATAATTCTTCCTTTTCGCTTAGCTCCTGCTAACGTATCTCTGTGTTTCGTTTGATTTCTGCGGGGGTGTCTGTTATTGTCATTGTGCTCACAGTGCAACAGCAATGCTGGCAAATAAAAGTGATGATTTTCATTAACGAAACCAAACAAAAACATGAGCCAAAATCTAAGAAACAGCATGTTTACAGCATGACACCGCTCACTAGGTTGCATAAAAAGAGTCTGAAACCAGCCATTATGCCAGGTTATTATAATAAATTAATCTGTGCAGATAATCAAAGGTTTAAATGCTGTACATCTGTTAAAAGCAATAAGAGATTATTTGTATGGTAGTTAATAGCATTTTGTGTTTTTCAACTGTGTTTGTCAGCAAAAATCAACATTAATGAACAAATTGTCACACAAAATGTCTGCAGTAGTGTCTGTAAAAAGTGACATTAATCAAGCATCAGTTTGAAGCTTGAATAGTCTCTTCATCTTTAAACCACTTTCTGTTTAGTAGGATCAAACAGGCTGAAGCTCCTTCAGCTGTGTCCCTTGTTTGTTGCTGTAGGTGTGGAGCGGGCTCAGGAGGTGGACGCGAGCGATGAGAATGAAGAAGTAGAGTTCTTCGATGCCGTGGAGGACTCGCCTTCGTTCATAACTGTGACTGCCTCTGAACACAAGTGAGAAACGACATTTATTCATTCATTCAGGAATTTCAACGCTTGCAGCACGGTGGTGCAGTGGTTAGCACCGTTGCCTCACAGCTAGAAGGTGGCAGGTTCACCTCCTGGTCTTTCTGTGTGGAGTTTGTATGTTCTCCCATGTATTCATAAGTTTGTTCTGGGAACTCCGGCTTCCACAAACCAGAATCATGCACGTTAGGCTAATTGGTAACTTTGAATGCAGCCTAGGTGTGGGTGAGAGCGTGGATGTTTGTCTCATTTGTCTTTATGTGTCCTTATATTCCAGCCGCCCGCAACCCGGAATTGATAAAGAGGCGGAAAAAAATGGGTGGATGTATAGATTAGAGATGTCATTTCTAACTCGAACCCAGAGCCCGGCCTGGCCCGACCCAGATTAGGGCCGGGCTGGACCACAATAATGTGCTTAATGTGCGGTCCGGACCAATGTCGGGCTTTTGATTGCGTCAGCAGATGCGCGCAGCTGACGATCCAGTTATATGACAACACGGCTTGCCATACAATCTCCAGCTGCACATGCTGACCAGCCTTGAAAGAGGTAAAAAAAAAGTTCAGTTAAGCTTCAGATGGACTATACTGCCAGGCAGCAATCCATCAAGGCCAAAATGGGCATTCATCGCGGACGTCAGAGCAGGGTCCGTGTCTGAATAATGCAGAATGATGATGAAAGATTTAAAGCGCTTTGACGGCCATGAAAGGACAAACACCCCCTTAGCCGCACGCGTCCACCGACTGTTAATAACTATATAAGCAGTCAAAGCTTAATTAGGAATGTTGGGTTTTTTCCGAGTTCGGACCTGCAATTACTGTTAATTCGTCGGGTTCGGAAATGATGGCTATGGGTTGGGGCCAGGTCGGGACAGATTTTCTGGGCCCGAATGCAACTCTAGTATAGATATAGTTTCAAAGCTGTGTTTGGACTTCTGTAGCTATTATTTTGTCTGAAATGTTCTTTCAGGCACTCGGGGAGTAATCTGAGTATGATGAGTGGAGGAATGCCAAATGACTGGACCCACATTGAGAACGTAAGTAAAAAAAAAATAAATAAATAAAAAACGCTTTACTCTGTCATGTCATACCCATTCAAATAAACAAAAATGTTGTTGTTGTTTTTTTTGGTATTTAAAGGACACCCCAGGCACAAACCAGGTGCAGCTGCGAAGAACGAGGCGCAGTCGCATTCCTGACAAACCAAACTACTCCCTCAACTTGTGGAGCATCATGAAGAACTGTATTGGCAAAGACCTCTCTAAGATACCCATGCCTGTAAATTAAAACCCAACGAAATTTAGCACGCGTGAGCGGTATTCAGTTTTTTAGGATGTTTAGTAAATCGGTGTGCTAAATGTTTTCTTGCAGGTAAACTTCAACGAGCCGCTGTCGATGCTCCAACGTCTGACGGAGGATCTGGAGTACAGCGAGCTCCTGGACCGGGCAGCTCGCTGCGACTCGTCTCTGGAGCAGATGTGCCTCGTGGCTGCCTTCTCCGTCTCCTCCTACTCCACCACGGTCCATCGAACTGCCAAGCCCTTCAACCCTCTGCTGGGGGAGACTTACGAGCTGGACCGACTGGATGAGTATGGCTATTGCTCCATCTCTGAGCAGGCAAGACGGAAAAATAAAAATCCATATTTTTTTAGTTCTGCGTTTTGTTTACACGCAAACACATTCAACCAATTTAATTAGTGTACAGTGTATATCTTCCTCTGACACCAGCTGATACCATTCAACCTCAGGTCAGCCACCATCCACCAGCTGCTGCCCACCACGTGGCCTCACAGCGAGGATGGACTCTGTGGCAGCACATCACCATCGACAGCAAGTTCCGTGGGAAATATATTTCAGTCATGCCATTAGGTAAGGAACATTTTAGTGATGTATATCACCATACATGCCACCAAAAGCTAGATGCAGTCCAGAAATGCATCTAAATATCACATGTTCTCTTCTCTACAGGTAGCATCCACCTGCAGTTCCACTCAAGTGGAAACCATTATGTGTGGAGCAAAGTGACGTCGACTGTGCACAACATTATTGTAGGGAAGCTTTGGATCGATCAGGTCTGTTTTTCTTGTACCTAATTTGCAAATCCCATATGTTGAAACAGAAAAAAGCTCTGAAAACACACAAAATCTTGATTTGCTCATAAATGTGAAAATAATTTATGAGGTAAACTTAAAATAGTGGACTGCTGTCCAAAACTCAACAGTGCTCCTTCTAATAGATGGAAATGGCTTTGTAGAATTGACAGAAATAAAACATATATTTAAAAAAAATCATTGTGATGATATACTGTACTGAGGGAAAGTACACTGCCTGGCCACAAAAAAGTCACCACCTGGATTTAACTAAGCAGATAGGTACGAGCCTCCTATTGGATAATTACTGCATGTGTGATTATCTTTCAGCTGGCAACAAGTTATTTAACCTCAACTGGTGCAATGAGTTGCTTCTCATTTCTTAAACAACCATGTTGAAAGACACATGGCGTGGTCGTGGAAAAGATGTCAGTCAGTTTGAGAAGGGTCAAATCATTGGCATCAAGCAGAGAAAACATTTAAGGAGATTGCAGAAACTATTAAAATTGGGTTAAGAACTGTCCAACGCATTATTAAAAACAGGAAGGATAGTGAGGACCCATCGTCGTCGAGGAAGAAATGTGGTCGGAAAAAAATCCTGAATGATCGTGATCGGTGATCACTTAAACATTTGGTGAAATCAAATGGAAGAAAAACAACATTAGCACTCTGGGCTATGTTTAATAGTGAAATTAAGAGCATTTCCACACGCACAGTGTGAAGGGAACTCAAGGGATTGGGACTGAACAGCCGTGTAGCCTTAAGAAAACCACTAATCAGTGAGGCTAACTAGAAAAAAAGGCTTCAATTTGCTAGGGAGCATAAAGATTGGACTCTGGAGCAATGGAAGAAGGTCATGTGGTCTGATGAGTCCAGATTTACTGTTCCAGAGTGATGGGCGCATCAGGGTAAGAAGAGAGGCAGGTGAAGTGATGTACCCATCATGCCTAGTGCCTAATGCAACATTGGATGGCAATAGATCTTGACATTGCAGAAGCTTATCGAAACATCGCCACAGTGAATGCATGCTGTAATCAAAGCTAAATGCGATCCAACAAAATATTAGTGTGTGACCTTTTTTTTGGCCAGGCAGTGTAGTTTTGCTGTCAGTACATGGTTTAATCCCAAATTGTTCTTCTCACCGGCCTTTTGTCTGATGCTGTCAACAGTCTGGAGACATCGACATTGTGAACACAACTACAAAGGACACCTGCCATCTCAAATTCTCCCCATACAGCTACTTCTCCAGGGAAGTCCCACGCAAAGTAAGTCTTACCTTTACATTTAGTTACAGCTATGCGCCAGCTAGCTCTAAATATGCAGTCTGAGGGGATGTAATGGATATATTCTTGTATATTCCCATTATGTCTTCAGGTGACAGGAGTAGTAGAGGACAAAGAAGGGACGGCCCGTTACATCCTGTCAGGGACCTGGGACGACAAAATGGAAAGTGCAAAAATAGTAGAAAGCAGCCAAGGATGTGGAGGCACTGAAGGCAAACAAAAGACAGTTTATCAAACGCTTCAGCCCAAACTGCTGTGGAAGAAATACCCTCTTCCGTATGTTTGACATCACTACTACATCCTAAAGACTGAACGCGACAGTGTGCAGCACTTTGTCAACAGTGTTTTTTCTGTCTCAGAGATAACGCAGAGAACATGCACTTCTTCTCCTCGCTGGCGCTGACCTTAAACGAGCCAGAGGACGGCATCGCGCCCACCGACAGTCGCCTGAGGCCGGATCAGAGGCTGATGGAGGCAGGTCTTTGGGACGAAGCGAACAATGAGAAGCAGCGGCTAGAGGACCGTCAAAGGCTCGAGAGGAAACGGAGGGAGGCACAAGCGAACCAGGCACTGGAGGAGGGTGAGTACTTGGACCACAGCAAGAAGGTTGAGGACAGATTCTTTCTTTTATCTCTTTTACTATTTGTATAATTATCTCCGTTTTAAAAGTGTACAACTCTTTGCTCTCAGGTCAAGACATTGAGGGTTACCTGCCTCTGTGGTTTGAAAGGAGAACAGACGAGACTACGGGAGAAAGCACCTACGTCTACAAAGGCGGCTACTGGGAAGCCAAAGAAAGACAAGACTGGAGCCAGTGTCCTGAGATCTTCTAGGATTCTGATAGCTGCTTGTCTGAGCTTAGATGTGCATGTGTGAGAGACCGAGACATCTTTTCACGCTCAGATTTTTCAAGCACAAAATCCACTTCCTGACCAACTTTCTTCTTCTCAGTTACAGCTGTGGTTCCAGGATGCATGGCTTCAGCTGGTGTGTGTGCTTTAAAGCTGTAGGGAACTAGTTTACAGACATGGAAAAATATGCTGTCACCCTTTTGTTAAAGCAAGAAAAAACCCACAAAGGTCACTGAAACAATCTTCACCTGACAAATGTAATAGCAGGAAAAATAATACTGAAAATCAGCTGCAGTAGTCCCTCGTTTATTGCGAGGGCTCGGTTCTGATCCCGCCCGCAGTAAGTGAAATTCTGTGAAGTAGCAACATATTTATTTTAGTATTTATGTATATATATATATATATATATATATATATATTAAGGCTTTAGAAACCCTTCCCACACTTTTGCAATGTTCTAAACTCTTAAACCTACGTCATTTTAACAACATACGTACAGTACTGTATATGTAGCTACTAAATTTTACTCACCATGCTCTGCAAATCAGGAGCGGCTCTCGTTCCGACCTTCTGTTGGCCGGCGTGGGACTGTAGGGGGTCGATTGGAGTACATTTGGATGAAAAAAGTCCTGATGGGCTTGGCACCTGTCCCCCGCTTAGAGGTCCTTGTTGGCTGGCTAGGAGCTCTCAGGTTCACCGCTGAGTGGAGGTCTGGTTCTGGTTCATTTCATTGCAGCTCTTGAGCACCGAAGCGCATTTGGGGGTGGGCAGACCTGTTGGCTGTCGTGGGACCGTAGGTGGTCGATCGAGTCTAAGTCTGGATAAAAAATGTCCCAATGGCCGCTACAAAAACAGCTCCGGATCTTCGGCGTGCGTCCATGCTTAGAAGTCCTCGTGAACCGGGTACCAGCTTTCAAGATTCACCGATGGGTCTGGAGGGCTGGTTCTGCTCCAGTTCTGGTCCGCTTCGGTGGATTCAGTGCGACTTCTCTGCATCCACTGTGCGCTGATCAGATCAAAACTTTACCTCTGTTTTTTTCAGCAGAAGGAAACGGGGCTTCTGGGTGGGGCCCTGTTGCCTTCTGGGAAATGTGGTCATTATGAGCGAGAATACAGCGGAGGCTTACTGAGCAAAAACTGCAAAACGGCAGCGCCTGTCTGAAGTATTGTTTTTTTTTCATTAACTTTTTACTGTACAGTACTGTATCCATTACTGCCCCAATCATGTGACTAATATTAAAGTTGCCAATCATGTGTCCTGTACAATATTATGGACCGTACGTCCACAAATTGCAATAAGTCGAACCGCGAAGTAGCGAGGAACTACAGTCGATTCAACTGAATTATTTTAAGAAACAATCCAATGAAAGTGGTCTTGACAATAAGAATGATGCCATTAGCTTAACATTTTGTTGCACAACTTGGATTCAGTCACTGCAATCAGCTGATTTCTGTAACTCTGTGAGTCTTGTGCACCTGTCAACAGGTATTTGCCCACTCTCTGTGAGCTTCAGGTTTGAAGGATGCTGTCTCCAGACTGTATGTTTCCGCTCCTTCCACAGATCTTGAATCAGTTTATCTCAGGGCTCATGGAAGGCTGCTTCAGAATTGTCCAATATTTAGTTCTGAACCATTATCTGATGTGATAGCTGAGTGGATTTTGGGTCATTATCCTATAGAAAACCCATGACCTGCGTTTGAGACCAAGCTTTCTGACTTGGCAGCACATTTCACTCCAGAATGCCTTTGATAGTCTTCAGATTTTATTGTATCCTGCAGAGATTCAAGACAACCTGTGCCGGATGCGGCAGAGCACAACATAACCGAGCCTCCTCCATGTTCCACTGTAGGTACCATGTTCTCTGTGGCTTTATCTTTCTTATACAAAAGGGTGCAAACAAATTTTATCCACCTCTTGAGCATTTCAAGTTCTGTTAGGTTGCGTGATTGAAATGTGGATTGAAGAACTATGATGATGAACTTTTTTTTGCACCAAAACTCACCTTACTGAGAGTGTGTGAGTTAACTTGGCAACATGAAGTGCTCTGGATGTCTGCTGTCACTGAAAGTCTCCTTAAAGATGGACGCTTGCACAGAATCACCAGTTTTTGAATGAAGAATGGGACAAATCTGCCTTCTGTGTTTTAAAGTTCTCTCAGCAGTTCTTCCTTTACTTTTCACTTTTCTTTTATTCACGCACAAAGAGGATCCTGAAGAACTTTCTTCCTGACTCATACCAAGTCATAAAAAAGTAGATTATCGTGTCTTTGAGTGGACAATTAACCAAAAATGAGCTAAAAAATGGTGATTGTTTATTTCTTGTGTTTTAAATTCGATTTCTGCTCTTGTTAAAACTGACAATATGATGTACTTTAGACATTTCCCAAACTTTGAGGAAGTGCTTCTTCTTCTTCTTTTGGCTTTTCCCTCTTCAGGGGTTGCCACAGCGAGTCATCCTCCTCCATCTCAACCCCAACTACCTCCATGTCCTCGATAATTGCATCCATACAGTGGTGCTTGAAAGTTTTAGAATTTTGCATATTTCTGCATAAATATGATCTAAAACATCATCAGATTTTCACACAAGTCCTAAAAGTAGATAAAGAGAACCCAGTTAAACAAACAAGACAAAAATATTACACTTGATCGTTTATATATTGAGGGAAATGATCCAATATTACATATCTGTGAGTGGCAATGTGAACCTCTATTAGCAGTTAGTTTGAAGGTGAGCAAACCTTCCAGAAAACCGTGTTGTGGAGGATTGTGCGTGTAAAATAAACAAAATACATTTTCAAATTCAATAAATAGAAAATTTGACAGCATTTACATATGAAGTAACCTTTAAAATGATTTGAGTCTTAACCATAGGACTTGTTTTTATGTGTAAATCTGCTCCTGGACTTTCCACAGCACTGAATTCTATTGGTGCTTATCAGCTGTCTCGCTCTTAATTACAGTTTGTGTTAAAGTAGTACAGCCCAAGCGAGTTTTACAAAGAAACAAGAACTTTTTATACAAATGATTGTCGTCTCAAAGCCATCATGCCTTTTTTATTTTTTCCCTAATTTTAGGCTTACACACTTTAGCAACAAACTTGTTCTCCCTATGATCTATAAAAGATATGCATTCAGTTTTGTTGCCTCATTAACACTCTGTATGTCAGCAATAATACAAAACGAACAATCGGTGAAGCAAGGCACAGCAAACAAGTGTTTTAAACAGTCTAGTGTTGTTTTTTTTATATCTGTAATATTAATATTACCTTAATATTTACCTGTTTATTTATACCTTTAGTGTGTATTATAACGGGGCATGATATATGACTGCTGGCTTATTTATGCCTTTAAATAGCAAACCATTGTAATATTTGACATTACATGAATATTCATATGCTGTTCGAATAAAGCACAAGGTTGGTGTTTGTTTTGTGGAGCATGTTCAAGTTTTCCATGGCAACAGATACAGTAGCTATGCATGGTTTTAGAGCGCTGATTCACTTCTGTAGGGAGAGGTCTCTTCACCAAGCTAATTGTTTGTGAATCATCCATAAACCTGATGCGAATTCACCTTCTGTGCCCTATTACCTAAGCAATGTAACTTATTTCAGATTAAATAAAAGTATGAAGTTGATATTGTGCTATTGTTCACTGTCACATCCATGTTTCAGTCATGAAACTCATTGGACAAGAAGTAAAGGAGATGTTAAAAGAGTGTGACGGGTCAGCTGAGACTGAATTTAGGTGCTGACATGAGAGCAAACAATAGATAATCCAACATTAATTATTTTTTATAAACATTTAATTAAAGGCTTCCTAATAACTCATCTATTCTGTTCAACCCTAATGACCATATAATAATATTGCATCTTTTTACCTTTAACAGTTTTTATTTTCAGATTAAATAGCAAACTATTTTATCTTCCTTTGTCTAAGACCCTGATTTTAACTGTTACATATAAAACACAACAAACTTCATGATATATCAATTTTATTACATCTTTAAATGATATATTACAGTGTCATAAAAATAATTCCACATCTGCTTCTAAAATATAAAGTTATTAACATAATTTTGCACTTTAATTGACTTTTCTTTTAATAATTGGTGACTAAATAATTTCTCTGTGTGGCATATTAAAACAATTGTATTTGTTGCACAGAAATGAAACATCAATATTGAATAAATGTTCAATTTGGTGGATAATGGTGACAAAACCTTTTATTTTAACCTTATTGTATTATATTGATTTTTAAGATACATATTTTTATTTTAACTAAAAAAACAGGAACAAAACCTATCAGACATTTAATAAATAAACTGAGCAATTTACTAAAACTGAAAACAGCACATCTGTTGCTTGTTCGTCTTCTCTTTAAGGATTTTTGGAAAGTTACTAAAAGTATGAGTTCAATATAAAAAAAGGACAACTTAAAATTAGTGGAGATTTTTTTTTTAATATAGAAAAATATACTGTATACTCATTTATGGAGACAAAATGAAGACGGGCCAATTTTAATCTTTATTGAAAGAATATGTTTAAAAAAAAAGCTTTTTTTGTTTGTTTTATAGCAACACATTTGACCATATTTCATCAAATCAACAAATAAAAACAGAACTAAATTCTAAGTATACAGTGACTAATATTTGACCTTGAAATAAGAACATATAAAAGATAGTAATATTGGTTGAAGTTGTCTTGTTACTTTGATGCACAATAACTCAGACTACATTTTTTAATTTTTTTATTTTGGCTGCATATATATATATATAATTTTTTTTTGGGGGGGGGGGGGGGCCAGATATGTCCCGAAGCCCTTGAGTTTGCTGTAAATCAACTCTATTTGGATTTTATTGGTATTTTAAATTGTCACAAAGTAATACTCTAGTGAAATAATCCGTCGGGATTAAAAACCACCCTGCATTCTCTGCTGACAACAATGAAATGCAGATTTTATGTGTGGGGGAAAAAAAAGTGGAACTGCCCTTTAAATAAACCGCGCACTGACGCTGCGTCCCGTCAGCGTCATGGCGGGCACCGACTGACGGAGATTTATAGGATGCTGACAGTGCACCGGGAACAAGGTAAAACCGCTGAGCTTCTCATTCTGGTAAAATGTCGCAGGAGGTTCGGCCGAAGGAGAACAGGTGTCACCGGCTCGGCTGCCTCGGGTATCGTTAGCTAACGTAACCGAAGAGCTAGCTTAGCTACAGGCGCACCAGCCGGTGAAGTTACTATTTAAAGCTAAATGGAGGGTAGACGTGTGTTTGTGTGTGTTACAGCGCCGTCTGAGATGATCACTTTTAAAGCCACTTTAATGAATGAAGTTGTCCTTTTAAAAATAGTTCAATAACAGGCAGGTCAAGGTGTCCAATTTCAATCAAGCTTACAGTCGCCGCTGCTGTTTTTGGTGCATCACGCTGTTTCGTCACAGGGTCCGCTCCATTTGAACGCCGGCTCATGCACCGGAAACCCCGCTCACATCCACGCAACGATAATGACCAAAACAAGATGTTATTGATCTAAAACAAAAAACATTATATATATATTTGGTCTAACACACTGTTTGGTCTAATGTGGAACATTCTTACGTCTGAAAACGGGATTTTCCTTCCATTTAAGAAACGTTTATCCGCTCCTAGTCACTTTTGACCTGTCCATGTACCGGTGGGCATAAAAGAAGCGTAGAGATGACTAACCAATCCACGAGAGAAGGGACGTGCTGTACTCCACCAGCCTCTTTCTTTTCATCCCGCAGAAGCAAATGTCATTTTCCATGCACAACCAGGCTGGCATGCTAAACAGAAAAACACGTGTTGAGAGGCGGTGCCACAGAATGCATCTGAACCAGCCAACAAAACCCGCTTAACCAAGCAGCTGTTTGCAGTGGGTGTTTATTTCTTGGATCTAAACTTTCTGTTTGAGAGTTTGCAAAGTTTGGAGATGAGAGGAACGGACTCAACATGTGTTTGCCCTACAGAGAGGACAATGCTGCGATCATGACCAGTGCCGATGGCTTCTCAAAATGCGAGCGTCAACAGAGAGGCAGCAGCCGGAGGAGGCCACCTGCAGAGATGCTCCATCTGCTCTCAGCTGTCATTGTCTGGCTGGTGACCGGCACCACCATCTCCAGCCTCAACAAATGGATATTCGCAGTGTACAACTTCAGGTACCCTCTGCTGCTGTCAGCACTGCACATGCTCACAGCCATCGTGGTGGACTATGGGCTGATCAAACTGAGGGTGATCCGCCACAGAGCGGCATCGCAGCAGGACTTGACCCCCAGTGCAAAATGTAAGGTGTTCCTGCTGAGTCTGACTTTTTGTGCTAGTATCGCCTTTGGGAACGTGGGTCTGAACTATGTCCAACTGTCATTTGCGCAAATGATCTACACCACCACCCCGCTCTTCACCCTGGCCATCTCGACTCTGATCCTGGGAAAGCAGCACCACATTCTCAAATACACGGCCATGATGCCCATCTGCCTGGGGGCGTCCTTCAGCATCATGGGAGAGGTCCAGTTTGATCAGACCGGCTGCTTCTTTGTGTTTGCGGCGACCATGCTGAGGGGTGTCAAGTCCATTCAGCAGAGTGAGTACCAGTGTTGTCATTCAGCTGCTCCAGTTCGTCAGCTCAAAACAGACAACTATTAATTAATTAATTTAAGCTTAAAGTGTTTTAAAGTTTTCCTCCAGAGACAATACACAGCTTGTGGTCCTGGAAGGTTTTACAAGTCTGTGATTCACTCCACAGTCTAGACGTTCACCCTCTCATTAAGGAGGAAAAAGTACAGCGGAGACTTTTCTTGTTGCTTAGGGAACAAAACATAAACACGTCTGAGTGAGCGGCTGAGCTCATGAGTCTGTTTGTCAAATCCTGACGGCAAGAAACGTTCAGACTTCAAAACATCTGAGTCATGTTTCTAATGAAACGGAGTACTCGTTAACTATGACACAGCATAAATAGCTCTAAATTTTTTTTTTTACACAATAAATGAGTGTTTGTACACAGTAGCATAGTGCACAGCTATGCCATTACTCGCTATAACTTGGTATTTGCCACGAAGAAAAAAAAATAGAATTTCTTATGTAACACAGAAGCAAATATTCATTTTGCTGACAAAGAATGTAATGTTACATACATGGTTCCAGGCTCACAAAGGGACAAAACAAAGCTACTAAAACTGACGAGTCATTACTTTAAATGCCTCAGTGACGGATACCAGTTTTCTTCATCGCGAGGTTAAACGAGTTTGCTAAGAAGAACATTTAAGCCCAGCTGTCACATTTACATCAGACTGTGTAAACAAGCTGTAGCAAACATGACTAAAACTTTACGTCTCTTGTTTCCAGAAGCTATTTTCACCCCCCCGATTGTTGATGTTTCCACTTTTTTTTTTTTTCTGCCCCATTTTGGCTATGAAAGTTTTTTTTTTTTTTTTGTTCAAAGCTAAATCTTTCAGCAAACGGACATGTAAAAGTAAATATTTGCCAAAAAATGCAGGTAGTTCCTGCCAAAGATGACTTCAGAAGTGCATTTTTACTTTATTGACACCCAGGAAAACACTGGTGTCACAAAGAGTTTTGTCCAGGCACATGCCAGGAACCTGCTGCTCTGAATCTTTCTGTTATTTGGCTCTAAAAACACAGTGACCAGCAACAAATACATTAACATAACACATGTGTAACAGAATACTTAATATGGAAAATACAGCTGCTTTTTATGGTTAGAAATGTAGCCTTTTATCCAGAAATTTGGTATTTGCTTTCAATACACAAAAATGTGATAACTACTGATGTGTTTAAAAGAAAGAGAAAAAAAAAGCAATCGCCCGTATTTTCTGCCGTACCCGTTGCACCGCCCTATAAGTCGCATCAGTCCAAATATGCCTAAAGTGGAAAAAATCCATAAATATGTAGCTTCGCCGTACAAGTCGCATCTATTATGTGTCACCGCTGACAACCTGGAAATGTGGGCCGGTGTTGTGCCAAAAATCGATTGGCTGCCAAATGGCGGCTGCGGGAGCGTGAATGGGAGAACTTTAACAAGAGTTTAACAAGATTAACACTTAAAAACAATTATTTGTTTGCTCGAAATTATAGTAAAGATGTGACTCGGGCTAACTTTTGCTTAATAAACGCACTTTGATGGTTAAATCAGCTGCATTTTCAAAAGCCTATGCGGAGACATGAACACGCAGAGGGCGACTCGCTGTCCCATTTCTTCGAAATTTAACAAGATGACCACCTAATACAATTTATTTGTTTGCTTAACAGTATAATAAAGGTGTGTCTCAGTTGAACTTTTACGTAATAAATTCACTTCAGTGGTCAAATTAGCTGCATTTCACCGGGGAGGCGCAGTTAAATGAAGCTGATTTGACAGTTGCTCCAGGCAGACGACGGTGGCTTTATAGCCACTTTTACCTATTACATGATACAACGGCATGCCATACTGCTAGACTGCCATCTAGCGGCTGAAAATGGTAGTGTTCAATATTTCAGAATGAATGAAAACTGACATATCTCAGCCAAAAAAATAGTTTATAAATATGGGGAAAATCCATAAATGCGTCTTAGGACATGCAAATTATGCAAAAAACTGTAACTTGTAGGGTGAAAAATACGGTAAACAATATGAAATATATCTTGTATCTGTTTTCTTCAGGCATTTTACTTCAGGAGGAGAAGATCAACTCTGTGTTCCTGCTCTACCTGATGTCCATTCCCAGTTTCCTCATCTTGATGGTGGCTGCTCTGGCCTTAGAAAACTGGGCCTTGATGGAGTCCCCGCTTCATTACGACTGTCACCTGTGGGTCTTCATCCTGCTCAGCTGCCTGGGCTCGGTCATGTACAACTTGGCCAGCTGCTGCGTCATCACGCTCACCTCGGCCGTCACTCTGCATATTCTTGGCAACCTGAACGTGGTGGGGAACCTGCTGCTGTCTCAGCTGCTTTTTGGCAGCGAGCTGTCTGCCCTCAGCTGTGCGGGCGTGGTGCTAACGCTGTCAGGCATGCTTATTTATCAGAACTCAGAGTTCATCAGCAGCTACCTGGATGCACGGAGGGCTAAACCTAAGGAGTTTGAACAATTAGAGTTTCACAGTGCCACTGGAGAGGGTTTGGTTGAAGCAACAAAGTGTGAAAAAACACATCGTCAGCAGACATTTGACGAGAAACGGGAAGACAAACTGGATTAAAGTGGAATTATAAAGAATAGATTAAACTAATAAACGTGCTGGACACTTTAATTTCTGTTCTCTGGCCTGTGTGTCAACAATCAAGAGTAGTGCAACCTTACCGTACTGATGGAACGAGAAATGATTTTCCTCCTCCCTGTGTTGATCGGTTATTCCTCTGATCAACAAAAAGGCATCTTTTCTATCTAGTGTGCACAAAGAAACGACTCCTTCGTGTTTCATGTAAACCGTTAATAGAGTTTCCGTTCTGCCCGACAGCAGAATATGCACGCATGAGCACACTGAACTGTGATACCTGTCAGGTATTCACTCGCACTGCTCCACTGTGAAAGCTCTGAGCTGCGTTCAGGGTAGCGTCTGCTGTAACGTTAAAGCGATTGTTCAGATCTTTAAGTGAGTTCCATGGAAGGGTTATGAACAATTAACGTCTTACCTGTCGTAGATAACTTTTTGAGTCAAGTTTGAATAAATTTAAGTTTAATTCTGATCAGACTGACAAGCTAATGTCTAGTCTAAGCAGGGCTTAAACCAAAGTGGACAGCTGCCATTGTAAAGTCAAATCTCAAAATATTATAGCAGTTTATGCAAACACAATTCTTCAAACAGTTACAGTGCTATTAATTTTGTATTGCACAGCTATTTACTTGGATGTGATTATTCTCAAGCACAAATAACAGCAGGAGCCACCTGTAACACTTTCAATGCAGACTGCAGGAATATCCTAATGTTTCTACCATGATAACCTTGTAATGCTAAAATGGTGGTGATGTAAAGATTTATAATTTAAAATAAAAGAGTTTTTACGATTCATTGTTTTAGAAAGGCACTGGTTTGGCACTTATATTAGTTTTGAAGTTGCAGGTAAACTTTCTGTCGACTAAGAAACTGTAACGTTCCAAAACGGTGAACTTTAGGTTCTTCTTGCTCGTTTGCTGTGGTTTCACTTTGTGTGCCTAACTGAAAATGCCCTTACTGAAAGGTTTTGGGATGAATACATTTATTGTTACACCCCTGAGAATGGTGCTTGTTCTTAAACTTTCCACAGAACTCCACTCCACAAGATCTGAACTATCCCTTTGGGTTTGGCGGGGGCTTTGAGAGCACTTTACCCTGACTTTGAATGGGCGTAATTTGTATTAAGAAGGTATATTTATGATACTGTTTCCTGAATGTCCCGTCATGGTGAGGGACTGGGTTCGACGGCAGCTTCGTTTGTCTCTCCCTTTTTTTTAAAGCAGGAAAACTGATGTTATTGGACTAAAACTTTGATTTTACACTAAAAATACGACAGACTAGGTGAACATTTCAGTGCAACGCGTTCATTTCTACTGAAGCACATTTTTAATAAAAGCCCAAAGCTGAACGTTTTACTGTGGTTTCCCACTGAAGGCCTAGATTTTTGCTTTTAATGCCGACCTGAAAAGACGACGCCTCTATGGATTTAGTCCAATTAACTTCCATTTCTTCCAAAAGGACACTCTTTTTCTCGCAGTGTAGCTTAATAATTAGTGTCAAGTTCTCTAAGGAGTGTCACTTTAGGCCTTTTTCCCTCTGTGGAGGACACAAAGAAGGTTGAGGTGTCTTTTTTTTTGTGCCAATGTCCTTTTTTAAAAGTTGCAGAATGCTTTTGACATACTTTTTTTTTTTTTAACAAACTGTGTACAAAAACCCCCATTTGTTCTTATAACAAATATTTGTTGTGTTTTGTTGCACTGACATTACAAGATGCCACTGTCAAACTCTTTTTTTTTTTTTTGTATATTCTGGTTTTGTTTGTTTGCGATGCTTGTTGGATGTAAATAGTTATTTTCTAATATTTATTTATTTTCTTGTCATGTATGGCTGGTTTTAAACCGATGTCATTCAAGTATGAAACATTCGCCTCATGCCTTATTTGGACTTCCTGTAGATGAGAAAAGAGTGAATTATTGGACTGGAACAAGAAATAAACACATCCAAGCACTTCAATTATTTAGAGCTTTTCTTTGCACAAGAGTTTCCACTGTTAAACTTGTTTTTATGTTTTGACGACTCCACTTAAAGAAATAGATAAAACTAATCTTAAAGAAAGCGGGAAAAGAAAAACAAGTTATTTGACAGCTAATAGAAGACATTTATTAACGACGGTGAAAATAATTTTTGGAATGGATGATGGATCCATCCATCCACTGATCCATCGATCGGAGCCGCTAGCTCTCCAGCGTTCCTCCACCTGCACCAGCTGAGTGAAGCGAGTGAGCACAGGAGGACTCGCTGCTGCAGTTCTTAGAAATTTAAAGCATCAGTCAAAAATTGTGTTATGAATATGGGAAATAAAATTATATAAGTTGCTTCGGCGTATAAGTTGCAGGATTGACAAATCTATGCAAAAAACTGTGACTTATATGCCGGAAAATACAGTTGTGTGTTTTTTTGTGGTTTGTAATGGACATGGTTCAGTCAGTGTGTGGAATAAACATCTTCTTACACATTTATGATCTGAAGACAGTTCTGAGTGTTTACCACTAGGTGAAGCCATTTATCTATTTTTTTTTAGACTTTGAGCTCCATCTCTACTGTTTATTTTAACCCCAAAAAATACTGCTGAAGTTGAATGTATTTTGTTTATGTTTCCCTGCACATGTGCAGGTTTGAATTTGTCTCCAAGTATGTGCTCTGGCCTTCTCTTTAAAGATCCCTACTTCTACTTTTGTAAACAGAGACCCTGTTCAGCCTTTTGCCTGAATAAGGCAGTGCTCCTCACTTTTTGCCACTGTTAACCCTTTACTTTCCTTTCAGCTGATGAGTCTACTGCCCACTGTAGCTTTAATGTGATCAAATAAATAGATTATTAAACGTAAGATGGTCTGTTAGAGTGAAGCTGGGGCATTGACATCATCCAGGATCCACAGACAGACACTCCTGGTGGAGGAGACAGAGATGGATGGAGGTGACTTGACGTGTCTCTTCCTTTTTATCCCATTTTGGGTGGTCCGTAGAAGCATTTTCCCCTCTCTCTCCAAACTTGCATCCCTGTGAGAGCAGTTCAGAGCCGAGCTCGCGTCACACAAAGCTCCGAAAGGAGGAGACGAGGTAGCCAAGTCCAAAACTCTTCAACAAGACCGGACAGTTTGAACCCTGACAACAGGTGAGTCACGTCAGATTTCAGCAGCCATCAACTTCCTGTCCGAATCTTACATTTTCCCCACATTGTCACTTTGTTAATATGGTTTTGTAACATCTGGCGGAAGATATTTGCTCAGAGATTCATCGCATAGTTTCACTCTGTTATCAGAATCCTTTAGAACTGGACTGTTTTTCATTGTTTTACTATATTTGTACATGTTTTTGTGTCTTCTGTGCTACGGCCAGCCAGTTGCTCAAATGCATTAAACAAGACTTGAGCAGGACAAACATCACGCTGCTCACTTTAAAAGACTGTTCAAGTCCTCAGTGGACTGCAAATAGAATAACTTTTTGTCACTTTCTTTGCTTATGTGTCGAGAAGAATGATATTTAAAGCATTTTTATTGTATTAATGTTTGAGGATATTTGGGATTTCACGCAGCAGATTCACTCTCCAGACATGGATGGTGGATCAGAGTCGCTGACCAGCGAAAAACTGACTTCCATTGAGGATGAAGAAGTTCTCAACAAGATGGTGAGGTGGCCTAGTCAAAGCGAACAGAGACATGTTATGTTTACCACCGTTAATAGTTATTTTACTCTGAGCTTAATTTCCACCAATCTGTGTGTTTTTTTTTAGCTGGACGATGCAGCTGATTTTGAAGAGAGGCGGCTGATTCGCGCTGCATTGAGGGACCTGCTGAAGAAAAAGAGGGGTAAAACCATAGCTGTGCAGTGGAGTGACAGTAAACACGCCATCATGGCTCAGTTGAGTCTGAATCCTCCTCGTCTGAACTCAGATAAACGAGAGCAGGAGCGAGGTCAGAGGCAGCTGGACCTGAGACAGCCGGGCCTGAGTAAAGGTGGAACAGTTGGTGTTGGACGATCCATGAACCATCAGTCAGTCGCTAACAGTAAGTCCAACTCTCTGAGGACGGATTATTTTATCTGTGCACGTTTAACTCTCTTCATGTTCTCAGAGCCAGCAGGCCAGCCATCATCCTCTTCTCCAGGCAACAGAACAGCCGTCAGGTGGGTCCAGTTTTATGTTTAGAACACCCAAAAAGGCAGAGCAATGATGTTTGAGTCAGTTCTGTGTGTTTGTTTCACTGGATTCTTAGCTAAATATTTTATGCATCACTGGACAACTTTCATTGAAGCCTTTGGAAAGTAATTATTGGATGAATATGTCAGCTTGATTCAAGATGGCTGCCAAAGGAGGCATGAAATATGACTATAACTGAGCTCAAATTTAATGTGGTAGTACCTGAGACTGATCCCAAACTTTGGCTCTGAGCGCTAACTAATAAGGCAAGATCTGTCTTTAAAATTTTGACATAACCGTTTTGTCAATTTGGTCTGTCTGTTAGCAAAATATCTTAAGAACTACAGGACATATTTTAGGGAAAATTTCAGGAAATAATGGACGTTTCTTTAAAATGTATTAAGTTTTGGAGCCAACTTCAACATTTAATTAACCTTAAAAACCAAAAATAGATATAATTCTGAGGCATTGAGCAAAAATTTGATGTCATTCAAAACTCTGAGCTTGACATCTTGCATGAAACTGTACATACTTATTTAAAGGTTTGACTAAAACCGCTACAACCTCATATGCTCAACATGACTTAGTTTAAACTTGCATAAAAGGCGGCTGGCAATGTGAATTTTTTCACAAAATGCTAAGTCTTTAAATTCTTATATTTTGTCAGCTATGAAAAATAAAACATAAGCTCCTTGAGATCTGAATGTTTAATATACAGTATTTTACAGCGATAGTACACTGTTTTTGGTGTGTAAAATGTATTTTAAAGCTTTAAAGCTCATTTTTGTGAGTTTTTGTCTCCTCTGCTCTACAGAGCTGGTCCTGCTGCAGCCTTTCCCCAGAAATGTTCCTCTGCTGAAGCACCCAACGCTAAAAATGTCAAACAAATGCTTCTGGACTGGTGCAGGGCCAAAACAGAACCATATGAGGTAAAAAAATATCTCCCAGCCTGCTTCGTCAATGATTTGTTATCTATTTAAATCGCACACACAGCTCTGTTCCCGATGCCTGAACTCTTTAAGCTCTGTTTTTCAAACAGGGAGTAGACATTCAGAACTTCTCCTCCAGTTGGAAAGATGGCATCGCCTTCTGCGCCTTGGTGCACAGATTCTTCCCCGACGCTTTTGAGTATTCCATCCTCAATCCCAACAAGCCCAGAGACAACTTCCAGCTGGCTTTCAGCACGGCAGAGTGAGCAACTCTTAGTCAAACAAAGAGTTTTGTTTTTTTTACACTTTTTCCAAGCCATCAGTTGTCTCAAGTTGTCTTTATTGACATCCTGTCTCCAGGAGGTTGGCAGGCTGCCCCCCTCTGCTGGATGCTGATGACTTGGTCCGGATGAAGGAGCCAGACTGGAAGTGCGTGTACACGTACATCCAGGAGTTTTACCGCTGCCTGGTGGAGAAAGGTCTCGTCAAAACTAAAAAGCGGCCTTAGTCTCAGACAGCAGCTCTCAGGAGTCATGTGAAATCATGAAATTGATAATTTGCTGCCACGAGGTGAGGTATGAAAGATGTCACTTCTGTCTTTCAACTAAATATTTACAATCCAAGTCATTAGATCATAAATTTGCTAAGATTTATGGGTAATGTCTGTGTTAGTTTGCCTGTTGGCAGAGATTTACTGCTGTCAGTGAACAGCTGTTGCTTAAGACTCATTCATTCCACTGATATTACAAATCTGTACTAATCCCACAGCAAATCTGATCACCATGATGATGCCGTTTGGAGCCTGAGAATTAAAGGTCCAAAAAATAAATGCTGATTTTATTAAAACAGATTATTGAAGTCTGTGTGATTTGCCTTAAACGTTTGGCGATAAATAAAACTTGTTTTGAGCATTTTGAGAGTTTAACTATCAACGTGAAACACAAAGCACTGACCAAGGATGAAACATTTCAGTATTTAGTATCATACTTAATACTTTGATTTGTTACTGCGTTTAAAGATCAAGATATTCTGCAGCTAATAATAGGGCAAGTTTTAAAATAAAAAGAAATGCTTGTGAATAAAATGATCATTTCTAATTCCTTTGACTTCTGACTCGTTATAAAGATTATTGTGTGCATTTAGGGTCATTTAGGGTTTACTTTTTTGTGTACTTTTTAAATGTATGACATCAAGAAAAGGTCATTTCTCATAATATCCCATTGCAAGATTTTATATATCAGTATGCAAAATAATGTGTGTTTATAAGGGTTTAAAATGAGTGTTTAAGCTAAGAACTGTTGATCAGTTGCATTGATTAAATGGTTATTAATGAGCAAAAATATTGGCCTTTTGTTACTCGAGCATTTAGTTGTTTTCTGCCAAGAAGAAAAAAAAAAAAACCATGACCCTAAAGAAACAACTGTTGCTACCCATCAATCTGGGGAGGGTTATAAGCTCATGTCCAAACAATTTGGAGTCTTTCATGGAAAACTCGTCCAGAATGGAAAAACATTCAAGGCAGTATATAGGAGTAGATCTTCAAGCAAGTCATTCCTAGGATATACTGTAATAAGAGGATTATAGCCGTCTCATAAAGAGCAGCCTAATAAAATATATTTAGAGGTGGTAAATCATGGCTTTGTTGCTGTACTCAAATTACCCTCATATATATCACTTAGGGATGTCTCAGTAATAAACAAAAGAACATCGATGTTAACAAAGAACTCTCAGCTGTTGCCAAGGAGACAATCCTCATCAAGTGGAAAACTAAAACATCTGTAAGTATTATTTAAAGTTAAATCACTTATTGTGCAAGAGGCGGGACATGAAGGGGGGAGAGGACTTGTATCGACTGGTGAGATGGGGAGATCAGGCTGGAAAGGATGTGCAGCAGGTTAGGCTTATGAAAGATATGAATGTTCTAACGATGATGGGATGAATGAAGGAGTGTTTGGAGGAGCTAATGAATGAACAGAATGGAAGGGAACCATCCTTCAGTTTCTTCTTATGCTACATTTAGTCTTTAGCTACTGCTACTTTAAGCTAGACTACTACTTTTAGATTGCCTTTTACTAATTTTAGTTTTTACCTAGCATTTGGCTGTTTTTACCTTTAGCTTTTTTCCTACTTTTAGCTTCTCTAACATTTTACAATGTTCAGCTTTTATAGTCAGTCTTTCTACTTTTACCTTTAAGGCAGTGTTTTACTATAACTTTTTGCAAACATTTTGCTACTCAACTTTTAGCCTTTTGCTACTTTTAGCATTTACCCAACATGCTGATACGTTTTCTTTCTAGCTAGCCTTTGTCACACTTTATCTTGCTTTGTGCAACTTTAAGCTATTATTCTGCTACTTTTAGCTACTGTTTTGTTCATTTTAGCCATTGGACAGTTTTTGCTACCTTTAGTTGTTTTGATACTTGTAGCTTTTAGCTTATGTTTTGCTTCTTTTAGAAAGTGTTTTATGCTTGCTGCTTTTGGCTTCAACACTTCAGCTTTGTCACCAAATTTCAGCATTTTCACAGAACTGTCACCGAAAACTAATTTTCTCTGATTAGCCTACCTTACGGACCTACAGCTTCTACCCTGAAGCTGTTAGACTCATGAATCCCTAATCAGGATTATCGCTGGAGGGAGGGGGGGGGGGGGGATCACTGTAATGCCACTTGATTGTTAATATGTGAGCTGATTTCATGCTGCTGCATTCATTCGTACTCGTCTGCTCACATAAACTCATGCTCGTGCTGCTGTTGTTCAGCATATTGTTTTACACTATTGAGTGTTTAGTGCATTCTTAGTTTAGCATATTTCTTAGTTCATATCTTAGATCTTATTAATGTTTTTCTTTTATAATATATACTTTTGTTAAATGTAACTGGGACCCTGTGTACACAATTTCGTTCCACCCCATGTACCACATGCGATGCGAATGACATTAAAGAACCTTGACCTTAATAACTGCAAACATGAAATGAACTACCTCACTTAAAATTATACAACATATTTTTAAATGATGTAACATTAATTTCACGTCTTATAACCATTATTGGTTTTATTTATTTCATTTTCATCTGGGGTTTTTGTATGGAAGACGGAATATGTCGAAATAAATAAATGCATAATGCATACATAACAATTAAATGTATCATTTAATTATTAAATACATTAAAAAAGCATGACATAAATAAACAATTATAATAAATAATTTAATTGTGTATTTAATGATTCAATGTTTAATTATGTACATTTCATTATTATATATTTATTTATTCCATTTTGTCACATTCCGTCTTCCATACATTTGGCCCAAGTGAAATGTTAATTATAGGTTATTGATAGGTGATCAATGCTCCCTGTCAGTGACGCACTCCCGCTGGATTCATGCGTCACTGGAACGACAGATGCTCTGCTGATTCTGGCAGCTGAATTCTGATTTCTCCTTCCGTGCTCTGCCCGCCCCTCCGACACGTGGAGTGGGGGTGGGGGGGTGGAGAGGAGACCGGTCTGTGAGCTGGAGGTGCAGCCGGTAGATGATGCTGTCCAGAGAGTGCGCAGCTGCTCCGACCAACACACACACACACACACACACACACACACAAAGGCAGCGGGATAATGGTCATAATCCACAACATGAGGGAGATGCGTGACCGTCTGTCCTGACAGCCCGGTCCACGGCTGAGACTGCTGCACCGTGACGAGACCAGCGCTGTCCACAGTCCACGGAACCGATGGGTCCGTCCTGCTGCAGGCTGCCTCTGGTCCATTAATCGATCCTGCGTGTGGAGGGCACAGTCTGGTGGCTTAGACTGGTGGTGGTGGGGTGCAGTGGAGCATTGCCACTCACTTAGTGAGTTTCTGGTACCACCCTTGCTGTTCACCTTGGACATAAAAAACGCACAAAAGGTAAGACATGTTTTTCAGTAAGCCAGTCCTGCAGGATGTCTGCTTTTTTCCCCCGGTCCATGTTTTTTACCTTTTGAACATGCAGCTGCTTGTCACTCATGGAGGCCTTCATGAACTGAAATATGTCAAAGGTCCACTTGTGAGGGTCTGAAAGTTTGGAAAGTGGATTCTGTCTCCTCACCGCTCTGCCCTGCAGGCTGCAGCAGTGGGCGGCTGAGTTAGAGGAGAACATTTAGGTGATGTAAATTATTTAATGAGAGGTGTGTGGTTTCTGTGTGGGGCATGCAGAAAGCAAAATGGAGGTAGGCCGCTGACTGTCCTTTAATGTTATCCACCCTCTTTTTTGTGACCTACAGATCGTGTGATGTGCTGTTGCACCGCTCTTCTTTCTCATGCTTTGTGAAAGTGTCAAGTGTTAATTAACCTAGAGTAATTTATGTAATCCAGGACATAAACCTAAAGTTAAACCCTCATATGACTCCAGGGAACACATCTGGACACACATTGCCCTTTATCAGATGTCTAATGTGGAATAAATGATGGATGTTATAATGTTTTCTTGTTTTAAGAGAGATGTGTGTTCAATTCTGTTGCAGGGTGATGGATCGCCTGACGCAGAAAGAGACCAGCACAGACCCCTGTGGTCCGAAAGTCCAGCCTGGGCCTTGTGTGTTAGTCAGAGCGAGTCCAGCTTCACGGCTTAGAGTCCAGGATCCACATCCCATCAGCTCGTCTGATGTGCTCAGGAAACAGGGTGCACGGACCTCCATGCAGGCAGAGCAGGCAAAGCTTACTCCAGCAGCCTTGACGAGCATCAGCCGACCCAGACCGACTGCTCTTGGAACTAAAGCCACTTCGAAGCTGCCCAGAGTCCCACCGGAGTACTCGAAGGAAATAGATTTGATCCCTGTTTGCATCCCAGGACCTCAGAGTGCCAACACACTGTCACATTCCACGTCAGAGCCCTCGTTCCCTCTCAGCAGTTCCCAAAGTCCACAGCTTTACCCAAACCCAACTCCCAGCATACCTGTGTCTAGTCCTAACCTGACCGCCAGTCTTAGTCCCAAACCCGGCCTCAGTCCTCAGCCACAGCGGACCTCATCACCTGGGAGCGCCAAGGTTCAGCCTGAAAGACCAGGAGGAGAGAACAGTGACTTCAGGTGAGACAAATATATCTCCATCCTTTTTTATATTTATTTAGTATGAGTCATTTCCTCTGAGGGTTGATTCTTCCTGAACACTGCACCAGGTGCAATCCTGCAACCAGAAGAAAACTGATGTTCATCCATGCCACATGAATCACAGCAGAACATTCTTCTAAAAGCTTTATGGACCTGACAGAGTGTCCCAGGCACAGTTTGTTTGTTGGCATGTTTCCCAGGAGCACTTCAGCTGTTCCACAATAAACAAAGCTTTCTTGTAAAAGCTCAGGTTTATGGTTAAGGAAGCACCTATATGTGAACAATAAATAAAGCCAGGTTTGTCGCCTAAACCTGCTTTTGTTGGTCCCTAAGACAAACACTTATTTCTTCAGAAAAATTGTATCTATATATGCTTTTAATACATTTTAAATACCACTACTATTTGTCTTTATTTGTTGTTTTGGCAGGGTAAAAATGTTGTCACTTACAGTTGAATACTACTACTACTAATAAAAAACTAATATTTCAATATAAATATTTTTTAACTATACATATCTCCTGACACTATGAATTAGAACAGCCTAAACTAATTGTTCTTTTAAAATAAGTGGAAACAAATAGAAAGTATTCATTATAATAACTATGACTTTTACTTTGTGTACTAAAATACAGCTGTTAGTTTAATTTATTTGACTTAATGTACTGTATATCTGTTATTTCTTGTTTGACAAATTCACACATCACCAAACAGTTGAAAGTTTACAAATTTATTGAACCATGGATCAATTTCATGTAGTCCATATTTCATTCAAAATGAAAAAAAAATGTTAAAGTCTTAAACTAAGAAATTGTACTTTAAAAAAAAACAATTTTCTATTGAGGGTAGCAATATAGATAAATTTAGTGAGGGCAGGAGCATCAAAAGGCTGTAAAAGAAGTGGTACGAAACAGCTGGAGGTGTAATCTGCATAGGTTGACTGGCAACAGGTCGGTAAGAAGGCTGAATATAAAAAGTATTTGATGAACAGTCGGCAAAAAATAAGTCAACGAATAGTGGAACAATTTCAGAAAATGTTCAGTTAATGGCAAATTAGGAAGACTTTGAATATCACATCATGTATTGTTCATAATATCATCAAAAAATTTGGATAAATCTCTGAAAGGCTCAAAGTCAGTAATTGATGCCCAAGATCTTCAGACCCTCAGACAGCACTGATTTAAAAACAATTAAAAAAAAAATAAAAAGTTAATTTAAAATGGACTGAGACAAAGTAGAAAGCTGTTCTGAATCAAAAGTTGAAATTATTTTTAGAAACCATGGATGCCCCATTCTCCATACTAAAGAGGAGAGGGACCAGTCAACCTTTTACAGCACACAATTCAAAACCTTGCCTCTCTGATGGTATGGGGATGCATTAATTCCTATGACATGGGCACCATCAATGAAGAGAAGTGTCAACAGGTTTTTGAACATACTCCCATCTAGATATCTGTTTCAGGGAAAGCCTTGCATATTTCAGCAAGACAATGTTAAACTGCTACTGCATCCTTTACAGAAACTTCTAGTTTAAACATATGATATATATATGCCCTTGTAAATAAAATATGGGTTTATCAAATTGGCAAATCAGTGCATGCTGTTTTTATTTACATTTTATACAACGTCCCAATAGTTTTGGAATTATGATTGTAATTAAAAACGCCGATCACAAGATTTTCTGCTTTTTCTTGATCCCAAAGGAAATTAAAATAAGTTTCCTGCTCTTTTGATTTGACTTCATTCCCTTTTGGTTCTGCTCAACCATGCGCATACTCACACACTCATACTTTCATAAGACTTAGTCATCAGTGAGGTACACTGAGGTGCCGAATTGTGCTTTTTTGAGTACAGAAACCCTGACGAAAGCTTTTCCTTTGAGGATTACAGATTAGATTATGTCATTTTTTTACCCTTTTACTAAAAAGCTGAAATCCTTGCTTGTATTTCGTTGTTAGGGTGTATATTGTCACGTGGAACGTGGGATCAGCCGTCCCCCCAGATGACATTACGCCTCTGTTTGGACCAAATGTTTCAGATGGTAGCGCTGACATGTTCATCATCGGGTAAGCAAGTATTTCTGCTCGTCTCAGCAGTGCCAAAGAGACAGCCGGGCATGCCCACTCAGTCATCTGTGATCACACCAGCCTCCTGACACTGTTCTTTTCATTGAAGTTTGGTTTTCACTTCTTCGTAACATCTCTCTGCTTTCTGTCACCAACCAGACTCCAGGAGGTCAACTCCATGATAAACAAGAGGCTGAAGGATGCTCTTTTTTCAGATCAGTGGAGCGAGCGTTGCATGGACACTCTAAGTCCTTTTGGATATGTTTTAGTGAGCATGTTTGTTGTTCTTCACATCATTTTATGGCATGATAAAATCCTGTTTACCTTAAGATTTGTTT